TGATGTAATTCAACATAATATAACCTGTGATGTATTATCGGATTAAATATCGATTTCGATGCGGTTCGATATATCGCTTATTAAATCCTGATTTCTTTGGCTGTTTCTAATCAGCTGGCAACACAAATAGGTTCCCAAGAAAGTAGTCACTGATGGTCCGTATCACTCCGCTCCTTGTTTATGCTCCGCGCATTGAGAAAGTAGTTCTGTATATTTTCTCGATTTTCAGTGAATTCCGTGCCTTAAAAAATGTTTTAACGGCATTTTCTTGTTTATTAAAATCATAGGAATGGTTTAAAAAAGTTTAGTATTGTGTAAGAAAAGTTTAGAAACTTCAGAAATACCTTATGATTCTCTTGTTTACATTTTTCTTGTAAACAAAAACTGTCATATGGCTACTTTAGTCCCATAAGCCTAATGTTAAAATTTGGAAATTTTAAGTTCGTTTTAAATTGCATTATCATTATCTAATTGAAATTTGTTTGTTTATTAACCATCTCACTATTAGTCTAAGTAATCTTGTTAAGTTTAGCTGAAATGTGTTCTGCCGTTATTGAGTGATGTTGCTTTATTTGTTGCATTGAAGTTGATCCCAAAGAGCTACGCTCAATAATCCAATGTATGTTTGTTGTATGTTTGTTTGTTTGTTTGTCCTTTATGGACTCCGAAACCGCTCGACAGATTGTAATGAAACTTTCAGGCATTATTGAGCCTTATTCAAGGATGGTTTGTGTGAAGTTTGGTGCAGATCCGTCAAAAGGGCTCCGCCCCAGTGGCTCTGGAGTTTCCCATGTTAACCTTATGAGTACTCATATTTAAATGGAATTAAAGAATCTTAATAGCTGGTTCAACTAAACAATTTGATTCTGTGATGTTCAATAGTATTAAAAAGGTAATAGGTTTACCAACAGGGTGCAGCACTACATTTTTTCTTAATTTATGACAGCTAATTTGCAACCAAAAGGTGAGTGAGCGTAGCGAACGAACTTCAACCTGGAGGTGAGTACGACTCCATTCAATCAGGACACGGTACCCCCCACCACCGCGTCCGGGACAGCGGAATCGGAATCGGAACGATTTGGTTTGGTGGTTAATTGAGGTTATGTTTATTGTTATTGTATAAATGTTGCGGAGTTACAATAACCAGTAATAAAACTTACTAACTTAGGTTCCCAATCCCAATCTTTATAACTAATTTACTATTAATTTCAAAATGTGTTTGTCAGATCAATCGATGGATATATTTCTAGAAACCAATTAATTAGCCTAATTGATTTAGGCCTTGCCTAATAAGTTAATTTTGGATCTTTAAAAAACAATGTTCTGTGTTGTACAAATATGTTGAAGGGTTTTATTTAACTGACCTTACCTTTGATTATTGATAATAGTATTATTATGATATTTTATTTAAATATGTTATACGTAATTATGAAAGTCAGGTAAAAGAATTTAAACTGTTGTCAATTGTAAGGAGTAAGATGGACCCTAAATAAATTTTGTGATTACGAAACATTCAAGTTACCTTTTGCATCTTATAGAAAATCTTATGGCCTATTACCTTATACCTTACCTTATAATAATAAAACATAACTAACTTAGGGTATAAGTTAAACAAAACAATTTTTTTATTCAATAGGCTAACTTGATTAATTATTAGGATAACATAGCCTACCAGTTGGTTGTGTTTGAAATTTTAATAAACTTAAGTTAGGTAATGATTTTGTATATAAATATATCACCTTTATTATTTGTTTTTTATTCTTTAGACAATTTCTTTTTAAGGTGAGATAACATCTTAGCCTACTTACTGTTTGCATCTTAAGTTATATAGCCTCGCCTAAGATAGCCTAAATCACCTATTCTATAGGCTACTTTATAATAAAACATAAGTTAGGGCCTAACTTAACTTAAAACAATTTATTCTTTAAGCCTACTGAGTTTAATTACCAGTACGGTAAGCTTAACTTAATGTTTGAAATTTAAATAAACTTAGTTAGGCCTAGGTTAGAAGTTTGAACACAAATATATAATTCCATTCTACGGCTTTGTTTGTTCCTATTGATTTAGTCTCGTTATTAATTGTAATGGAATGAAATAAAGCCTCGATTTCAGCTACAAACGGCTGACTTTCCATTCCTTTCTTAATGCATGCACCATGCACCTAAAAAGGGTAGGCTTAATTTGTTGGGAGGCTTTCACATTAATATTACTTGTACATAGCTGAAAATAACCTAAGTTAACTTACTAAATTACCTACTGAAAAATCCATTTTGGTCATTCTTAACCATATTTTAGTAACTTAGGCATAAAAGATTATGTTTAAATCCGAAAAAGGTTTTTAACTTAGTATAGTTAACCAACATCTTGCAATAACTGGGCCATCATGAACCAGAACCAGACTACTAAACTTACTATAAGTTTACTGGACAGTGTTTTGGCTTTAAAGTGGAGCTGGTAACTGGTAAGCCTTAAAATCAGCTTTTTAAGGCAAGAAATGATTCAGTGTTTTCTGAAGCTCATTAAAATAATAAATAAATGAGGCTGATCTTTGGTGTTTAAGTGCTTTCTGGCAGATAGATTCTATCAGCCAGATACTTTCTCCCTGTAAGATGGTCACATAAGGTGCAATACGATTACTAGGCAAAACAAACTTGAATATTATTGATAGCATATTAGCTTTGACCATTGACATCACTAGTTATTATCAATTATCAATTCTTGAGATGGGGACGCCACCTAGGTGTGTATTTTAACCCAAATATGAGTGAAGGATAAGTGTAGAATGAATGATGTGAGGTGATCTGTGTAGCTTTGCTACTGACTACAGATCAGCGGTTTCATTAGTCAGGATCATTTATTTAAAGCCCAATTATGCTATAAGTTAGTCATTTTAAAGCTGTCACCAATTTCTTAATCAAGTTAGTGAGCCACCCCCAGATTGCGCTGATATAAATTACTGATTTCCGTCAAATATATGCATCGGCCTACTTTTTTACCAAGTCAAAGTGATAGGCCAACTTATTGTAAGCTATACAGTCGACTCTCGATAACTCGAATTTCAAGGGAACGGCTGTTTTCTTTGAGTTACGTATAGCTCGACTTGAGAATAGTTCGAGTTATAGAGGTAATATTTCACTAAATTCGACTTACAGGGGTAAACAAAATAAAATTTGAGTTATAGAGGTACAAATAAACAATGTTTTTTATTCCCTACATCCTTTAAAACCTTTGGCAGGCAGTTGGACAATTCAGCGACATAAGTTATCCAGACCGGTTCGAGTTAGCGAAGGTTGATCTGAAAATTTCGACTTGTTGAGGTAATGTATTTAAGGACTTCGACTTACCTACTGAACTTTGAGTTATAGAGGTAATTTATCTATCACTTCGAATTATAGAGGTAAAATTCGGGTGCAAAATTAATTCGAGTTAGCCTAAGTATGGTTTTCTTTTAGACTTAGGCAGATTTTCTCAAGGGAACGGAAAAACATTTGAGTTACCGGTATCAAGGAATTCAACTTATTGAGGTTTGAGCTATCGAGAGTCGACTGTAGTATCTTCATGTCACCTTAACTAACTTGAGTAGTAAAATAAAAGGATGAAAATAGAATTCTAGACACCAGCCTATTAAACTTTCTCTTTACCAGCCTATGTAAATAGCCCATTAAGCTGCATTGCAAAAACAATTTGTGAAAGCTGGTCTGTATAGATGGGGGAATGTCTCACTTCAGTCAATGGTATTAGTTAAAAAATATAAACAAAAATTTGTTCTTACCCTTACAATAAGAATACTACTTACTTTTACTTTTTTATCGGGGTGGGGACCGTGTTCTGTTGGACTGCAGAACCCTGCATTACAGCCCAAAAGCAATTTTATTCGGTACATTGATGATACTAAATCTTTGTTTACTTAATAAGATAATTAAAAATTTAGATAATTTTCAGTTTTTCAAACTACTTTGTTTAACTTAATCGAGTTTAAATTTTCAAAAACAATGCAAGTAAAAATGTGGCTTTCAATACTTAAAAGTGCTTTTGGGCTGCCCTCTGCATTTTTGCTTCAATGAGGTAGGCCTACATCTCTTTTACATTTAAATAAGTGGGAAAACAACATGCATTATTAACAGGTAATAACAATACTGTAATAAATACTTTAAGACATAATGAAACCCGGACACAAACGTTCGTTAACTTGGGCAGAAGACGACAGTCAGTAACTACTGTTGTTAAACTTACTACAGTGATAACAACAACAAAAACAAACAATAATCGTCTGCCGCGTTTCAGTTCGGATGCTCCGTGTTCCGTTCCGATCCGATACCAATTCCACTGTCCCGGGCGAGGTGGTGGGGGGTACCGAGTCCTGATTGAATGGAGTCGTGAGGTGAGTTAGCGTAGCGAACGAGCTAACCTGAAGGCAAGGGAGCGCAGCGAACGAGTTCCAACCTAAAGGTGAGTGAGCGTAGCGAACGAACTTCAACCAGGACGTGATTGAGCCATGCGAACGAGCTCATCTTGAAAATGAACGAGCATTGACATAAAACCATACATTAGGACAGGACGACGTCGGGCCAGCTAGTTCCATTTAAATATGAGTACTCATAAGGTTAACATGGGAAACTCCAGAGCCACTGGGGCGGGCCCTTTTGACGGATCTGCACCAAACTTCACACAAACCATCCTTGAGTAGTGCTTAATAATGCCTGAAAGTTTCATTACAATCCGTCGAGTGGTTTCGGAGTCCATGAAGGAAAAACAAACATACATTGGATTTTATATTCTATGAGATTACGAATTCAAGGCGTTGGTTAGAAATAATTTTTCTCTTCGCCCCACCTCAACTGCACCTATTACCTATTATTACCTACACATGATGATGACAGCACTGCTATAACAACACAACACGTTTATATTTTTTGGCAGCTTGGCAAGGTGAAGAGAAGAGAAAGTTTATCTTCTCCTGTGGACTGTTCGACTTCGACTGTAGTGGTGACTGTAGTTGTAGTGTTTCTGTTGCTTTGCTGTTCCGCTCATCCGCTGTTTCATCTCTCGTTCGTACATCAGTACAATCTGCATCTCTACAAACTGTTGTTAAATTGGATTACTTTTACTTTTGCTGTGTATGTTAATAGTGTAGCATGACATTTCATGTGATTGTTATATTTTCTTAGATTATTTAACCAGGCCAAATTAATTATGATTTTCTTTAAAGAAAAATTATTATCTGCAGCTCAGTTGAAGAGGCTAGGTGAACATAAGTACAAGTATGATAGCTGCAGTCTCTTAGATCCATACCTTCAAGTTTATTGGAATTGGTTAGTTAGTAAAGTTCCGATTTGGCTTGCTCCAAATTTGATAACAATTTTAGGACTACTAGTGAATATTCTTACCACTCTACTTCTTGTTTGGTTCAGCCCTGATGCAAAATCAGAGGTAAGTTATTCAGTTCTATGCCTAGTTTATTTTAACCTAAGCTTCATAGCCCATTAAACATTACCCATCTGTTCTGTTATAAACATAGGCTAGGTCCTAGTTCAACTTCACTCTTGCTCCTAACACTTTGCTGCAGTAGAAGTGATACCTTTCAGTAGACCTAGCCTAGCTACATTGTTAATCTAGGTTACCTAACTATTTTTGTGTGTGTACAGTTTTAGCTCAAAAGTACCGGTAAGGTAAGCTAATTGGGTACTTTCCTGTTAAAGGTAACATTCATTATTAACAATCTGATTTCGGTAATTACTCTGTATAAGCTAGGTAAGTTACCTCCAAATGAAATTTTGATATCTTACTTTTTAGTTGTTTACCTCCTGAATCCAAATATACCATTATTTTTCACAGCTGATGAACCTTTCTCAAGATATCGCCGTGATTATATACACCATTACAATAAACAAGGTAGGATGGATGACATTTACAAGTTGAATGAACTAGCCTAAGTTTTATGGGTTAAGTAAGCCAACAGCTTGGATTGTTTTGAATCATAGTCAAGCAAAAGGAAGTGACAACTTTATTAGCTAACTCTGATTCTGCAATATGAAAATCTCTTGATTAAGTTACACTTTTCACTTTCTAAGACCAATAATTAACACATTTAATATAATGTATTATTGGTATTTTATTCTTATTAATGATTTATTGATTTATATTTAGCTGTTTAGAAATGACCTACATAATAAAATGGTGATATTCTAACATAACCTAAAAAAACCAAAGCTCTAGAATGTAAGCAAACTTCTTTTGATGTCAGAAAAGGCAAGCATTTTTGAAAAAGTAAGTTATTTTGAAGGGGTTTTCTCAGGATTTTAATTTTACAAAAACAGTCTGCAGGCGACACTTAAACTAATAACTCGATACATTATAACCTATCCTAATCTAACCTAACTTCAAAACACTTAATGCAGTCACCAATTTGCATAAAGCACGACCTATCACCCTGACATGCCTAAATAAGAACTACCTACCTACATGTATTTAGTCCACCAGTTTATTTATTTATTTTATCATACGGTAAACACCATTTTTACAATCGATAATACATAAGGGCAAGTTACAATAAAATTCAATAAAATAAAATTCAAGTTAAAATAAAGTTTATCTAGGCCTATATCTCCATAATGTGACAAAATTCCTATTATAGAAAACATTATTGACTACAGAATCACTTCAAATGTTTCTACAACGATGTTATCATGTTTAATCAACGATGTTATTCTTCTCAATCATGTTACTCTCTTCACTTAACCTGAACTTGTAACGGCGTAGCAGACTAGCACTACGCAGCATGTATGAGTATGAGTATTTTTGTTTTGAGTTCAAGTTGTAGTGAAGTAAAATGACGTCACTAGGCATTTAATGCCGATGATAGAATCAGAGTGAGTTAATAAAGTTCAAAAGTTGCTACTTCCAGTTGCTTGTCGTGTGGTTGCAAACTGTCAGCTGTAGGCTTAGTTACCCACAGTTCATTCCACTTGAAAATGTTATCCATCCTACCTTGTTTATTGTAATGTTGTATATTTTTACGGCGATATCTTGAGAAATATTCATCAGCGGTGAAAAATAATGGTAGGTATATTTGGTTTCAGGAGGTAAAAAACTATACCCTCTAAAGTAAGATATCAAAATAAAAAATTCGATGGGAGGCACCTATACGGAATAAATACCCTGATTTCTTTCGATATATCGATATTTTTGTTTTCCTTTACCATCCATACCTTCTGTTTTAATATCTTCAAAAACATTACCGGTAAATTACAAATTGACAACTGATCTTGTTAAGGCAAAAATAGTATTATGTGAATCCAGAATAACTAAACTGTTCTAAACTACCTAACCTAACATACTAACCAAACTTGCTGTACCACCATTTCAAAATTTCGTTTGATAACAGAAAAGGCATGTGAGTAATATGAAACGGGATTTGGAAATGTTACAGTAAGTTTGGTTTTAACTTAGTTTAATTAGAACAGTTTCATTTCAATATAGGCTAGGTATATATTTTTTTAATTGTTTGTTGATACCGGTACTAAACAATATTTACTTAGGCCTTATCGTAGTTGTCAGCTGCCATCTTGTTAATTGATATAGGTATATCGGCTCAAAAAATAGAATATCGATGTAAGTTATCGAAAAAAAAAAATCACTGATAATAATGAATGTTCCCTTTAACAGGAAAGTACCGTTAATTGTTCCGTAGGCCTATATCTACACTGGGAAAAATGTAGGCTAATTTTCAAGTACCGTTTAGGTATATGTCTATTGTCTACTAATTTTTTTCACGCTGAATCCAATTAATGCAATCAGTTTTTGTCGGAGAGATTCCTAAGTGGCCGTACAATTAAATAATTAATAGGTACCTATCAAACTCTCAGTAGGTATTGTTGAGTTAGGTATTCAGATATGGTTGCACTTTAGTTACGTCCTACATTTACTAACTATTTATACATTAACTACCCAGCTGATTATAAAATGAAACTGTTCTAAACTAAACCTAACCTTAACCAAACTGCAGTAACTTATGTGAGTAAATGTAGGACGCAAACTAAAATGCAGCCTCAGATATTTGTGCTTTGGGTGAGTCTAAGTTCTAGCGGCGACTAACACTTGAGGAAGGTTTGTGGAATGGAAACTGTTGTTAGTTGTTTACATTCAATGCTAAAGAAACAAAACCAGTCATGACGACGTGAAAGCAAAATCAAAATCTTTTACAATATTCAACAATCCGATTTGAAAAGCAAATGGACTTTGATACCTTTTAGAAAATACAGTATGAATGAATGAATGAATGAAATATACGTTTATTTCCACATAATGTATACAGAAAGAAACATACTTTTAGTAATTAACTAAGTTACGGTACATAAACTAATAATCACATATCCACATTAACTTGTTAATAAAAAATGGAAAATATAAGTAATAGAGGTTATGCCACTGCCACTTCAATAACAACATGATATCATTCTTAATTAAGAAAATAATGGGATGAGAGTGACCAAGAGTACGGTACTATGGTAATTTATATATCATTATAAACTAGATTTTTACCTGAAAACGATGGTGGAAAAATATTTCTGCTGTCACAAAAACTGAATTAACTACGATTTTTTGAATTGTATTACTGTAATGCCTCTTGTCGGCTGGTCTCTGTCGCCATTGCTGTAAACTGACTGTCGAACACAAACATGAACGATTGAAAGGATCGTCTAGGGAAGAAGATGAAACCTAAGATGACAAACATTAAGTTTATACAAAGAGGTTGGTAGAGGCATTTGTAAATTCAACTAAACGTTGATTATGAACTACGTGAGTTCTTATGTGAGGTAGGTAGGTTGGGTGTTATGCGGATTCGTGACTGTATTAAAGTGTTTTGAAGTTAGGTTAGATTAGGAAGGTAAAGTTTAGGTTAGGTCTATAATGAATCAAGTTGTTGATTCATTATAACCTAAACTTTAGCCTAACTTCCCTAATCTGACCTACCTTCAAAGGACTTAATACAGTCACAAATTTGCATATCAACTAACCTACCTACCTCACATGTCTTTTTCGACTTATAAAAGAAATTTTAAGCTGTTCGAGAAGTTTGGTTGTGTTATGTTACCGGTAGGTTAGAATAGTGTAAATTTGTTGTTTTAGTTATTCATTTTATTATAACTGCCACTACACTATTATCATAATGGGACATAACGGTTACATGGTCAAAACCTTAAGCTAAGCCAATCGGTGAAGTGAAGAAAAGAACAAAATGAATTCCTTCTTCTTTATTCATATTCCAGTACAGATCCAGATTAAATATGTCCGACTTTAGAGGGGTTTATTAATCTTAATTACATTTTAATTAGCAAAACATGAGTAAAAAATATTCCATATTCAGGGTGGTCTTAACTTATGACTCTAAATAACATTTTTTATTTTTTTAAATTTCTTATGTTTAGGCACCAAGATGGGCTTTTCTACTTTGTGCGTTAGGACTATTCATCTATCAAAGTCTGGATGCTATCGATGGCAAACAGGCCCGAAGAACAGATTCTTCATCCCCCTTGGGTGAACTTTTTGACCACGGCTGCGATTCCATATCGACAGGTGAGTTAAACACAGTTTAGTTAATAAAAACCCGGTACTCCAGCCCCATCTTCAAACTCTTTAAGGGTCCTCCACTTCTTTCTTGTCCTCCTTAGACACATGCTGCTGGCCCTTAATGTCACACAGATGGTTTTTTACCCTTATCCAGTTCATCACTAAACTGTAAGGTTTCTTCTATTTTTCTGTTAGGCGTTCTGCCATTGCTCTGAACAAGGTCTGAAACTCTTTGCCTAGCATTCCGTCCACAGACGTGACTAGTGGGGTGAAAGAAGCATTTCTTGTTTCTGTTAGTGTCAAGTATTTTCTCTTATTCTTTCATTCTGCGTTCTCCAAAACTTTTTCGTTCAAGTACGATGGAACATCAGTCTCAACGACACATACATCGAATAATGCTTCCATCTTAACCTCCCATACACCCCTACAAGCCAAGTCTGCTTTCAGTGCTGCAGCATCCAAGGACCCTTGTTCAGATATCATTGGTTCTCGAACACAGTTTCCCCATGCTAGCTCCATCAAGCTTTCAACAGTATCCCTTACCTCGTTATGTCTTCTTGTTATCAACCTACCTGTGCGACAGTTGAGGGCATGTTCCATACTGAGGCTTTTGCCAAAATAAGGTAGAGAGGAGATACTCTTAATGGTTCACTGAAGTGGTGCCTAGGGCAAAGTCTAACACCACCTTGTTGGCCCTCATGTACTATAACGCTCACTGTAAGGGAAGACCCTTGTGCTCTAGGAATTTCTGCACTGTCCTCGTCGTTCTGGCTCTTCCTTGCTTGTCACAAGTATATTTGGGGCACAACATACCAGAGCTGAATGGGCACGGTTGTCCCATAAGCGTGTTCCCTCTGTACCTTACTTCTCTGTGGTTACTGCATTTTTTTTGTTGAAACAAATTTCTTGATGAATTTACCGATTAATAATCTTTTACAGACCAACTTGTCATATTGTTTTCTTTTTTGCAGTGTTTGTTGCGTTGTCAGCATGCATAGCAGTACAGCTCGGTCACTGCCCAGCTTGGATGTTCTTTCAGTGTTTCTGCGCAGTAACACTGTTTTATTGTGCACACTGGCAGACATATGTTTCAGGTAGATAAATATTTTCTTGTACATAATTTAAATTCAGCTACATATAAGTTATTAACATTTTTTTACATGTGATCAATGAAGGAGCAAGATATTAGTATTATGATTTTAAGTTCCTTTGATAATAAAATTACATTTTAGTCATTCTATTGCTAATCCTAATATTTATATTTTATAGCGAGAAAATCTGTCTAATCCAAAACAAAAATCGAGACAAAAGTAATAAAAATTATCACCCTACATGGCCCATCATGGATCTTATCCAGGGGAGGATTAAAGGGAGGGTGAGGACGCCCCCCCTCTCTATGAAACCCAAGAGTCAGATGAGGAAAGGGGTTTACAAGGGGACGTGTATATTTACGTGATTGCGGAAAGTGTTTGGAAGATGCAAGTTGATAAAAATGACCCTGTCAATAGTGGTAATGGTTGATTCACAACTGTATGCTAGCATAACTCAGCAATAAACAGCTGAAAGCTTTAAGCCAAGGTTAATTGACTTGTAACTGCAACCCGATAGTTATGCTGTTCTTGGTGTGTACGCCGCTGGCAATTTTACATGAGAAATTACAAGTGGCGATACTTAAACACTAGGATAAGCAGTCCAAACCCATGATATGTGTTGTGGATGTGATGAAAATTGAACCCCTCCCTCCCGCACCAAAATCTGAGACGCCAACCTCTAGGCTAGCAACACACCCTTCTTCAGGTCTTCAGGAGAAACGATGTAAGGCTGATAGTTCTATAAGCCTTAGGTACAGCATATGTGTCTCCTTTCAGGCTTCGGTATGAATGCCACCCTGTTGAGGTTCTCCATGCCGTTGGTATTACTCCACTGGCTAAGCTGGTCCTGAAAAGACGCACCAAGGGAAGTATCAACTGGTCCCCACCCTCCTGCAAAAACACAGTTAGATGCCATCGGTACCAGGAGCTTTAAATGGTTGAAATGCCCTAAGAACCCATTTTATATCCGTAAAGGTGATCACAGCCCTAGCGCAAACCCAATCTTCCCTTGTCGTCTGCACCCTAGTCTCTCCATCTCATCTTGGACTGTGTTCTGTGGTTGCAAGGATGAAAAGTGAGTGCTCCTGGGAAGTGAGTGCTCAAAAGGCTCTCCAGCACTTCTTCTGGGCCGTCCATATATGTGCCATCCTCCTTAAGCATTGTTCCTAAAGGATTAGCCTTTACCTCGAGCTAGTACTCTATGAAGCTTTGCACATTCAGAAACACTCTCCATGTTCTGACAGAATTCTCTCCATGACTCTTTCTTAGCTCTTCTATTTGTCCTATTATAAACAGTAAGCATCTTTGAGTAGTTGTTCCAGTTTCCTGTACGCTCTACCACCAAGAAGAAAATTATTATTCCAATATTTTTGTCACACCTCTGACTAAAAGATTTGTCAATATTTTTTTGGAGCATATGCTATATATCATTGTTGAATTGTGATGTAGGTTTAAAGATGTTGATGTGGTTGCAGGTATGTTAAGGTTCGGTCGCATCGACGTGACCGAGGCTCAATTCACCATCATGTTTATCCATCTGATATCAGCAGTTCTCGGTTCTGAGGCTTGGTCCAATAAGGTAAGTGGTTTGATGTTTTGCAGTGTGTTTCAACAAGTGTGAAGCAAGGTCACTTAAACCTGTTCACATAAATTTAGTTATCCTGAAGCTACGTCCTTTAAGTTAATTTTTTGCATTAAAAGTAGCTGAAATTTACTATGGGAACAAGATTAAACAGGTTTCATTTGAAAACAATGTTATGATGATAGGATCTAGGCCTAACGTTAATTTGGTGATTTATCAAAATAAAACAGAGTTTTTACAATCACTTAATAACATATTACAACTTACAACCAATTAAGTAAGTTTTTAACCATTATCATTATACTCCAACACAATAATAGCTAGATAATACCTAAAAATTGATATTTCCACCTTCCACCTAAAACACCTAAAAAAAATTGGATAAAAATAGTAGGTAGGTACTTTCTCCATATCATAAAGGCCTAGATGGGGGAGAAAGTAAAAATGGATCACACAATATAATTTTATCATCTCTTATAATGGTTTCAGTGATTACTTGATTGTTCTGTTGTGTCAAAATCTGTCATTACCAAATTGGTTAACAATCTTGTATTTTACAAACAACCAGATTGTTTTATCAGCAGATATCTATACTTAGCAATGGATGCAGATGTTGATCTTGCTTGGTAAGCTCAACAAGATTCTATTGTGTTGTTATCAGCAGTCTGACCAATTCTGCCATTCTACATGCTATACATGACATGCTAATATCAGCAACAGTCAATGCGATCATTAGGCCCATTTGATTTGTTTATTTTTCAAATATGTTGTTATTTTTTTTTCAAGAAAACAATATTAAGATACATTTTGTAAAATTTTTACCTCTAAATAACTTTTGAATATGTTTCAAATAATATTTTAATGCCCATTTCTTAGGACAAACAGTAACCTTATTGAATATTTCATTATTTATTTACTTCTAGATCTCTAAATACGAATGTTTCATTTTTTTACTCAAAGGGTACTTGCCGGTTACATGCACTTGCGATTTTTAAGAGGTAAACTAGCCTAATAATTATTATGAAATATGTACATTGCTTTTAATACTAGGCTAATAAAGTCAATTTCATCAAAAGAATTTTGAAGATGATTGTATAAAATCCTTTTCTACAATTATTTTAGCTACTAGTTATTTGGTTTTAAGATTGTTCTAGATGACAATATTGTGCTAGCGGCAAAACTTTAGAATTTAGAATTTCATAAAATCAAGTTAAGTATGTGTGAGACAATGTTAAGAAAGCAAATCTTACAAAGAATCTAGAACTACAAGGTTTTGTGCTTTTAAAAGCCATTACGTTTTTTCTATTACAGGTGGGATTTCTGGATTTCATAGAAATCCGTTTTGGAGTTGTTTTAACGACAATTGTTTGTGGATCCATATCATTTTACAATATCTTCAGAGTAATATTTACAGGGGGAGTGGGGAAAAATGGATCCACAGTTGCAGTAAGTGGATTAAATTGCAGTGGGGTGCAGTGAATTGAAGTGGGGTGCATGCCGTGACCGTGATACTAACAACCCCTTGGAACCCTGTCCTGAACTGGTCTTGTCTTTAATTAAAACAATAACGGGGTATCAATCTATTCAGGAACGACGTAGTGTGTAGTATTCTTTATTTTAACTGTCCTTTATTTAAAAAAATTAAAACAGAACAACACAGTTTTAAGAAATTTGTTTTGAAAATTTTAGGTTGATCTGCTTTTAAATTTTCTGGATTATAAAATGCTTTGATGAGTAGGCCTACACATTCTTTGGGTATCCATGAATTTTTATATGTATGACGTAGGTTGTTTACTGGTTGGAACGCAGAACTTCAAAACCTATCAAATACCTATGGGATTTAGCAATGCGTGCTTTAAACTAATAGTTAGGAAATCAGCTATTTATCATTTTAAACAACATTTAGAGTAATGTACCTCAGGTGAGGAATAAGTACTTTATCAACATAAAGTCATGAGATAATGTTTATCTCAAAGTATCTTTCTTGTGCCAAATGTATCATTAATGCATTGTCACCATCAGTTAGAGATTAGTAGATATTCAACTTTAACTTCATGCACTTGTTGATAAAGTGTGTTAATATTAAATTAATTTGATTTCAACATAAAATGTATTTGGTGTTAACTTAGAGGCTAATTTATTCCATGTTGGTTACCAGTCACCCCCTTGAAGGTTACAGTGCGTAGTATCTTATATCACTATTGATACAAAGTTTATTTTTGTTAAAACATCAAACACTTATAACAAAATTTTATCTAAATAACTATGTCACTAGTGATGGACAAGACCCGAAACTTGGAGATTTTTTCGAGATTTATTTTATCTCGAAGCTTCGGGCGGGATTAAAATGCTAAACGGGATATTTTCGAGACAAGATAAAAAAAAATCCAAATTTTTTAAAAATTTTTAATTTAAAAAAGATTTTTTAAACTGCTAAGTTTTTTAGCAAGACGTTAATTGCAAACATTTAATTTTAAATTAACAAAATTTAAATTTAACACAAATTAAAATAAAAACAAATTCAAAAATTAAAAACAAAAATTTTAAAATATTTTTGAAATTTTAAATTTAAAATTTTTTAATTTTTTGTTAATTCAAAAAATTTGAGTTGTTTTGCTAAACGTAATTTGCAAACCTTTAAATTTAAAATTTAAAAAAATTTAAAATAAAAAAATATATTTTAAAAACTAAAATAAAAAAAAAACTAATGTTTTGCAAAACGTAAATTGCAACCTTTTATTTGAAATTTCAAAAAATTTAAAATAAAAATAATTGTTAAAAAATAAAATTTTAAAATAAAAAAAACTGCAAAGGCGTTATATTTATATAGCCTATTTAATTATTTATTCTTTACAAGGAAATGTCGCTTCATTTTATATTTTTTTTGCAAAGCAAATGAAAAGTTTTGTTAGTGTAAGCAGTGTGAGACATGTTTTACTACTGTAAACATAGCCAAAATAATTTACTCCAAAATCATTCTATTAATAACACAAGACTTAAAATTGTTACTTGATACTTAACTAGTAATACTGTTGTTTTTTATATTTTCCAAAGTTGAACTATACTAACTGACATCTCTATGTTTCCTATGCTGAAGAGTTATTTTTAATAAGTTAGGCCTTATTAATTTCTTTTATATACTGATGTTTTTATTAATGTTTTCAATAAAAGATATTAAATATTTTTGTCTATTTTTTGCCAAGTTCTTAAAACTTGTAAATATATCTGGACTTAAAAAGTAGATATTAATTTTTTTATAACTTTTCATTAAATCTCGTCCCGAAAAAAAATCTCGTCCCGCGGGAATTAAAAAAATCTCGTCTCGTCCATCACTATATGTCACATTTGACCTGACTTGTGTAACTCCAAACTTAATGAATTGTCACTTTCCCAGATGAGTTTCATCAACTTGCAGTACAATCAAAGTTTTGGAGCGATTTTCTTTTTGGGATACGGCAAAAATTTCATAGACTTTTGTCAGAGATTCCAGGCCGGTGGGGCCGGTAAAAATGGCTCGTCCGTTGCTGTAAGTGGATGGTGATAATTGTACGGACATTAATGCTTGTTATCACCTGTGAGTGAATGTCCGTCGTGCATGTTACCAGCACTGTGCTAGTTCTCAATGGGAAACGTACGCTTGTCTGCCTGTTATATTGTCGTAATTGGTCTTTCTGTACGCTTAGTTTTGGAGCTAAAAATCATGTTAATATAAAATATTCAGTTGACAAATGGTTAGATCACAATAGGAAACATTTGCTTGTCTTGCTGTTATCCATGCCTACCTTGTACAATTGATCTCTACGTAAGTTTTATAAAATCAATCGTGTGTAAATTTATGCTCCAAAATCCACATACAAATTTTAAAATTTAGTTATAACTTGTTTCATTACATTTTAAGTTATTTATTTTAAGACTCAAAGTAATTTTTTGTCATTACAAAAAGATAGAGGCGTCATCAGTTGGATAGAAATATTATATCTCAGTAAAATAAAAGTTGGCGATTATCTTCAAATTCAACTTGACTAGCACTTGGGTTGTAAAAATGTTTATGAAAAACATCAGAGGTCAATGATTTACCAACAATAAGTTTAAAATTCCTTATTTTCTTTTTTCTTAACTCAAGTAAAACCCTCTTTTTCAATGTATCAGACTCATTGAAATATTCACCACCTGAATTAAAATTCCAAATTTTTCCACTGTATTAATGAACCATCTTAAATTAAATAATGCATAAAAATCAATTTGAATTGCATAAAAAAGTTAAGCTTACTGTTAGTAATGAAAAATATTAATTTGTCTTTAGGATCCATTAAGTATCACAAAATTATAGACGTGTGTTAGTCACAAAGTAATTTTGGTAGAAAGATTAAAATCTTTGTGCATTGCATAAAAATATTATCAGTCACTCAGTAATGCTTGCCGAGAAACTTGAGTAAGTCGCCTACTCACTAAATCAAGTGGCCTTGGAATTCCCAGTTTTGGCCTCCTAAATATTGTCACAAACAACTCACAGGCAAAACTGGATGATTATAGATGTCTATAGCCTAACTTTCTCAATCTTCACATCTTCAATTTTTAATTAATTTGATTTGAAATATATTTTTTGAAATGTTATAAAACAGAATACCTTAGCCTATCTATTCTATTTCAATTATACATGATTTAATTCTATATGATTTTCCCTTTTTCAAGGTGTGTATAAATAATTCTATCTGTTATGATGTAATACTATTTTTTTCCAACTTTTTGTTATCCGTGCCATTAGGAATTAATTTTACAAGCTATTATTTTTGCATATTCAAATACAATTACACCAACCCAAATGTATAGGCTGTAAATTAATGTAATAAATAAATTCTTTATCACCATTAGAAACCATACTCATAGTCTACTTTAAAATATCTGCGTCCGGTTTGTTTACAAGATAACAAGACTCGTATGATGGGTAAACGACCTTGGCTTCCCGAGATAAAAACTCATTTTGATTAGGGAGAAATTGAATGAAACATACTAAAAGTTTTGTTTCAAGTAATTAATTGCTTTGTATTAAAAGTGCAACCAAACAAATTATGATCAAATTTTTTCCTTTTTGTAGGGGTTGAATTAATACTTAATTTTGACAGTAATTTAAAATCAAGTTTAGCCTACATTTATTACAGGCAAATTGTTATTGGTAACAACACATTCATTGGTAGAGTTTGTACCGATGTTATGCCTAATTGTTTTCAACAGGTCATAAACACAATGTTGGATGATGAATAGGTTTGTTCCTCACAAAAATTATGTGAATTAGAAAAACGCCACTGGCATTAAATAAATAAGAAATATTCGAGGCATGGTGTTGTTAACCTTTTTAAACTTTTTTCTAGAACTAAGATGACCTTTGTGTTTACAAATAATAAAAGTTGAAACAAATTCAGTAGGTAAATATAGGTGCTTATCGATCAAGTTCGATTCCCGCTGGTACTAAAAAATTTTCTGGCAAAAACTAAATAAGAAACTATTAAAGCGTGGTAATTTTAACCTTCAAAATGTACAACTCTGGAACTTTGGATTCCCGCAGATATTCAATCCCTGGTATTTAGTGGTCTATTTGTAAATTTTCTAGCTTGGGAACCACTTAACAAACAATACATAGGTTCTTTGGAATAAGCAGAGTGGGAACACCATTCCCACGAGTTCCCGCCCCACTACAACACTGCCGGATTGGTATTCTCTGTAGTAATTTATCACTAGAAAAGACTACTCTAGGCATGGTGATATTGAAACGTTTGTATCAATTTATGCAACCAAGACAACCTTTGTGTAATTGTCTATCATTCAAGTTGAATGACATATCCTCTGTACATACCCCTGTAGTGGCTTGTGTTGCGTTGTGTTGTGTGTTCCATTGAGTTTTGCTGTTCAGCTGCCTTGGGTCGACATGGAGTGGAAGGTGGTCCCCGGACTGGTGGGCACCGCCGTTGCTGCTTACCTTTTCTATTCCCACACGGCAGTGATATTCACAGGTGGCGTTGGGAAAAATGGTTCTTCGGTTGCCGTGAGTGTTCATATATACCATCGGTTACATTGCTTACTTGCGATTTACTGCCTCGAATTACCTGTAAATTAGACTGCCTTGTAAATATAACGGTGGTCAACATTGTAGCTTTCAGGGTGTCTACTGGTTGAGAAACTAATTTTGGGGGTCACGGAAGTTAATGAAAATTCTCTGACTGGGGGGTCTAAGGAATCACTGAAAAGTTGCTAATTTTACTAGGGCGTCGCGGAAGTTACTAAAAAGTCAATAATTTTACTATGGGGGTCATGGTTGCTGAAAATTAACTGATTTACATAGAGGTATATGGAATCACACAGCGTTACTGTCAGTGTCAGGTCACAAAATTTTTCTATAGGGTCAGGGAAATTGCTGGGGAGTCATTGATTTTACACCAGGGTCACAAACCTTACTTAAAAATTACAGCCTTTACGGGGGGGGGGGGGGGGGGGGGGGCACATGAGGTACTGGGAAGTCACCGATGTTGAGGCCAAGGAATCACTAAAGTTACTAGAGGGCCACTGATACTTAAGAAGGGTCACAGTAGATCCTGGAAAGACACTGATTTTACAAGGGGATCATTGAAGTACCTGAGTTTAATAGGGGATCAAAGTAGTCATTGAAAAATTAATTAATACACCTAGAGCCCTTGAATTTGATGAATAGTGACTCATAACATTTGAATTCACATATTGTTATCAGGGGCTCTGAAATCAAAAATGTTTTAATGGGTTAATCTTTGCATACTCTTAAATTTGAGTTAAGAATGGAAAAGAAATTTGGTTGTGTAATTATACTTCTCATAATTTACTTTATCATCTCACAGTTTTTTAACTTGAAAATTACAACAGTTGATGAAAGGAGACAAAATGTTGTTGGTTTAGAATGGCCGCATAGGTAAAGGATGTAATAGATTAGACTAGGCATATTGAAGACAATACTTTACGCCAGAAAGTCACAGCTTTAGTTTACGAGACTGGTAGACACCTTGATGGACTAAGCAGCAAGAACGTGTATTATTTACCCTGTACAACATCAAAGCTTGGCAGTTTTAACAACTGCTTCTGTCTAGTTAAAACATATACATGCAGCGGAACAAGCAAAGCTGATCAATCAATGTAATATTGAGATTGCATATTTTGTGTCTTTTTACTTTAAAACTAATATTTCAAATGTATTTCAGCTTAACATTTCAGTAAGTGTTCTGGTTGCATGTCTGTGTTTTGCATTGTTTTAAGTTGTCTTTGTGCTCATTTGCATTAAGATCCAGATTGTTGGATGCTGCATGATCTAAATTGTGTTGTATTTTAAACCCTGTAACTAATAATGTGTATTAGTATACTGGTACTTTTATTTGACATCTAAGAAATGAACATTGCAGGTTTTATTATTTTACCTTTAGAATGATATATTTCATAATTTTTTATATATTTAATGTTTTTCTAATATATATATATATAATATTCCATTTAGTAAGTGTCATTATACAGTAAAACCCTCATTAAATCCTCATCAAGTCCTCAGTAAACCCTCCAGATCATAATTTTGCAAGAGAAAATTTTCTTTAAAGCCCCTGCGAGCTTTCTAGGTTGAGCCCGCTGCTGTGCTCAACGTTAAGGCATTTTCACACCGTCGTCCTGGATGTTTGGTACGTTTTTGTCAAAACAAATCGCTACCCATACTTTCAAATGAGACTGTTCACACCGCACGTCCAAGACGTCTCAGATGTCCTGGATGTTCGCAATGGTTTTGTGTGGATCGCCCGGAGAACAATTTTTCTAAAGCGTCCAAACCGCCCATGGCCTAGCGCATGCACAGTGAAAACTTAAAAACCTCCTGCTCCGCTTATGTAGTACTATCTACAGTTTTCTTTATACTCTCTCTATAGTATAGTGTAAATATTTCTGATAACAACATTGATCATTGACAATGTTTCTTCAAACTGATCTAAAATAATTTAAATAACCAACAAATAAGTTCTAAATCTATATTTATCTAGATCATGCATCGAGTAATGGTACTCAAAACTCCCCAAAACTCTTCTGTTTTGTTTTTATGGGATGAATCCATGTACTTATTTACATTAACGAGTATAATAATAATACTAAGTTGTCATCACTATCAATATCATATCAATTTGTCATATGATATGAAGGACTGGCTGTCTATAAAATGTTTAAGGGATGCATCAGAGATCTATAATAAAATAAATGTAAACTTTAATGAAGCCTATGACATTAGTAAAATTATTGTATCAAAACCAGTTAAATCTCCTAAAAAACCATGGATGTCTTTTAAAATAGTAAAACAGATTAAAGAGCGTGATAAATTATTTAAATTGTACAAAACACATCCAAACAATAATAATTATAAAGAAAAATATAGGGTAGCAAGGAATAAGGTGGACAAAGAAATCAAAAAAGCAAAACAAAGACACTTCTACAGTTTATTTTACAATAATCAAAATAATATTAAGGAAACCTGGAGTCAGATAAACTCAATTTTAGGTAGGGGCAAAGTGGATAATATTGATGAAAGTATAGTTAAATATCTAGGAAAGCATAAAACAGAACTTGTAAACAGAAATATGTAATGCATTTGCAGATAAATTTACTAGAGGCATATATTCAATAATACATAACTGTCAGCAAAAAACACTAGATACCTTAGGACAAAATGAGTGCATAGCATCATTGTATATACCTAAAATTAAGAGAAATGAAGTTGTGAGTTTACTGCAGAGAATGAGAAAAAAAGGACCCGGCCACGATAATATTAGAATGATTGACATACAAAATAATTCGGATGTTTTAATTGATTCTATTGTTTTATTGATAAATACTTCCATTAGAAATTCAAACTTTCCAGACATGCTTAAGATTGCAGTTATAAGACCAATCTATAAATCAAAGAGACATGATGACTATTCAAATTATCGTCCTATATCGATCCTCCCCTCCCTTGGTAAGATATTAGAAAGGTATGTTGCAAATAAACTAATAAAACATCTAGAAGATAATGGAGTGATACATGAAAGTCAATATGCATATCAAAGAAAACAAGGGACAAATGAGCTGTTGTTAGAATTTTCAGACTATGTAAACAGTCAATTGGGCCAGGGAAAGCAAGTATTGGTGATTTTTATTGATTTTAGTAAAGCTTTTGATACCCTAGAACATAAAAAAATTGCAGTGGCTTTAGAAAAAGCAGGAATTAGAGGTCCATGTAAAGACTGGTTTATAAACTATTTGAAAAACAGAAAAATTAAAGTAAGATTAAACGATAAATTTAGTGAAGAAAAAGAACTAGAATACGGTGTACCGCAAGGAAGTATATTAGGGCCTTTGATGTACCTAATTTATGTAAATGAGATGCCAGATGCTATACAATTCTGTAGAACCTTTATGTACGCAGATGATACAGCCCTTGCCATATCCGATAAAAATATAAACGTGGCAAAAACTAAGATTGAAGCAGATTTTTTGAAGCTGACAATGTGGTGCCATGACAATGGATTGATTATAAATGGCAGTAAATCAAAGATTATGCATATTCATTCACCTTCGTACCAATGCACAGAGCTAGCAGTAAAATTTCATTCACACGATTGTCTGCATCGGAAGAGCTATGAAAATATGTGTCAGTGTATGAATTTGGAGTATGTTTTAAGTTATAAATATCTGGGAGTCATAATTGACCATAACATGAAATGGGACTTGCACTTGAAACAACTAACTGATAAATTAAGATTATGCTTATTTAAGTTTTACCATATAAGACAATACCTGCCACTAAAAACAATGAAATTGATTTACTCAAGTCTGTGTGAATCATTGCTTAGATATGGTGTAAGGTCATGGGGAGCAGCATCAAACACAGCCATAATGCAACTAAAAACCGTGCAAAGCAGGATAATCAAAACAATGACTAAGCTTGATTCTGCTGATCTGGTTGAAAATCCCATGCTAGGTTATCAATTGGTCAACGTTTTGCCAGTTGATGGGCTGTTTAAGTTTTTAATTACAACAGATTATTATTTTTCAGATGAGTTCAAAAACCTTAATGTTCATAGTTACAACTCAAGGCAATTGTTCTTTATTGTGCCTAGAACAACAAATAAATATTCTAAAAGAACAAGGGAATATTTAGTTCCATTCTTGTTAAACAGTTTACCAGTACAGCTGAGGAATATATGTTACTGTGGAGTTTTAAAGAAGAAGTTAAAGAATTTATATCTAGATCTGAGTTAAAGATAACTGTGTTTCATATTTCATCATTGTTGTTCACTGTTCCAAATGTTTATTATTGTTACTTTTTTAATAGATTATTCACTGTTCAATGTTTCAAATGTTTATTATTGTTACTTTTTTAATAGTTTTAAATTTGTTTATTACTGTTACTTAATTCATTGTTTATTAATAATTGTTAAAATCTGACTACTTTAAATTCTATGATTGGTTTGGTATATTATTGAATTCTTACAGAAAAACAAGGGAAACAAAAGACTGATTGTGTAACAATGACTGATTGTAAATAAGCACTGTGAAATAACAAAATTAGAATAATTGCTGCAGACAAGCCATATTGGCTTTTGTGGCTTGGAATTGTATGTGTTTTGTAAATTTGTATTTTTTGGAAATAAATAATAAAAAAAAAATAAAAATAAAAATTCATGGAACAGAAGACCCCGTGTGAGAAGGTCCTTGTCTCACACCTAAGAACTTCCGGAAAAGACATATTTGCACAGGTAAAACAAATACACTAATTGCGGGCATTGTACTGTTCTGACTCTGAGTGTACAATTGGACATTTGGTAGGTTTCTTGGCGGTGTGGAAGGACCACACACTGGATGTCTGGGAGGTCCAAAACGATGGTGTGAAAAGGCCTTTAAGGGAGTAGGGCCCTGGTTTCACAACATTCAAGGGATACCCAAACAGTTTCGGAACAGTGCTGCTTTTAGTCGAAAATTGATTGGGCCAGAAAATTTGGAACCCCAATTTATTAGTCTGACTTAATAATGGTATACTGTAATTATTATTTTATTTTTTCTAAAACACTACTGCAATGTAACAAAAGGTCTTCAATTAACAGATTACAAATGTATTTTCAGTAGTTTATTTTAAAATGTCTAACCAACTGTAACTATTGACTTTTTAACATCAGAGAAGACATACCATCTTACATGGACCAGTTGTAGCCAATCTTTTGTTAAAATTGAACACAGTTGAATGAGCCGCTAACAGTTTGTGCTACCTGTAAAAATACTACTTTCATACTTAAGATTCTTTGATAATTAATGTGTCATACTGGATGCTATTGTTTACAGTTAGTTATCTTTTTGAACTTGCTGGATTAAAGAGTTTGTGAATATGATAGAAATCAGTTGACACTTTGTTTATGGTTCAATTCAACTGTTTTCGTTATCGTTATAAATCTGATTATACTTTAGTGGAGAGTGCTATTCCATAGTCGAATCTGTAACCTACCACAAACTCAGAGAATTGTGTAATTTGCCAAACATAGGGGACCTCGGTGTTATCACCAGTGATTCCTCTGTCACTGGTCATTGTGCCGGCCTTTATCATCTGGCGGAAGAGTGAGGAGAATCTGTACGAAAACCATCCTTGTCTGTACGTCCTGGCATTTGGATTGGTGGCAGCTAAAGTCACCAACAGGCTAGTGGTGAGTTTGGAGAGTGCTTAGAAGTTGAAACATATCGTGTTAGGCTGTATTGTAAAATGTAACAAGTCAACTAGGCTTAAGCAATTATTGCGGACATCCAGTTAATAACAAGTTTTCATGACATTTTGTAATCTGAAATCTAATCTTGTAGCCTAGTGGTTAGCGTCTCTTACTTCACTGCGGCAGGGACTTGTTCGATTCTTAGGAAATCCACAATGCAATTTGAATTTTGACTACTTTCCCTAAAAGCGTTTAAGTACTTTCTCGTGTAATTCATCCTATAAAACTGCCATCAGCGTAGACAAGGACATAACAAATCTATCTATTATGTTTTTTAGTCTAATATTAATATTGTACAACCAATTTGTATTATTTTAACTGTTTATTTTATTGTTTTCAGGTTGCCCATATGACAAAAAATGAAATGGAATATTTAGATTCGTCATTATTTGGTCCAGCGATGCTATTCTTGAATCAGTATTTCAACTGCTTCATTCCAGAGTACTATGTTTTATGGCTCTGTGTGGTAAGTAAATAATTCTGAATTTTGTACTTACAGTACCGTACGAATTTTGACAATTATGTATTGCCATATACTGTAAAATTTTAGATAGAGTAACTTTAATAAAACAGATGGATATTTTTAAAAAAAACTACTTAGGGAACTTTTGGAGCTACTTTGTCCTTATTCAGTTGATGATTTTTTTTGTAACTAACTCTTTTTGTTATATTTTAATCTTCTGACCTTATTTTTTAATATATTACTAACTACAATGAAATAAAATATATAATATCATGTATTTTGTTGTGAAAAACTGACATGTCATATGTTTACTGGTGATGTATCACAATTATGTAAATTCTATGTGACAAATAAACATTTCATTTCAGTTTTTACAAATAAGATCATGAGAAAACGTTAACATCTTTCTTTTTACCAACTTGGCTAATAGTTTTCAGCACTTGGGCACTATACATTTTTTAAGACAAACCTGAAGTTGATAATTATAATTTAGCTGTCTAGTAAGTGTATGGTCAATGTGATGAGTGTATGGTCAATGTGTATGGCCTTAAAGGTGAATCGGTCCAAAACATGTGAAGAGTTATACGTCAATAACTTGCTAAAAAATCACTGACAGTACCATCAAAAAGTCCATTTTCTAGACTAGCGTCTACTGCTCACAATAATTTTGCTCTGAAAGATAACTGTATTTTCTGTAGGTACGGGAAATACTGTTATGGTGCATTATCCCTGAAGCGACTTTTATGATAGTAGTTGAGCGATTATAGCTGAGCACTGGTTAGCGTTGTTTCAAATGGGACCATTGTCCTTGACGCGACTGGAGCGGAGCGGCTGAACACAGAGACAGTAGCTCTGAGGGGAGTGAACACAGGGTCTGCTCTGAGGGGAGTCAAGAGTCGCAGTCGTAGAGCCATTTGTGTTAAGTCTGGACGTGTTTTTAATGTCTTCAAAGAATATAAAACTGCTTTTTACCCCTGATAAAGATGAAAAGCTGAATAACTAGATCTTAGACATGTTTGGTAAAAATAGGGGTACAATAGTCATCTTTAGTACAGCCAGAGATGTTTTCACAATACGGCTTATTTCGCAAGGGAAATCCTGTACTAAAATATCCTAAATTAGCCTTCTTCTTGTCTTCTTACAAATATGTCGTGTGTACCAACTCGTGGCGCAAATGAAATGTCTTTCACTTCTTCGTCGTCAAATTCCTCAACCAATAGGCATTTCAAGAACAATTTCTTTTGCCTCAAACTCATGGCACCACTTCAATTGAAAGTCAGCAAACTAATGAACAGAATCACTCTAGAACAATCGCTTCAGGGACAATGACGTCATGTTTAGCTACTATCGCAAGAGATGCTTCAGGGACAATGGCCCTTTACTTGCAACAATAGTAAGGAATGTACATTAGCTTTTTGATAATAGGTAAAATCGTACTATTATTATTGTCACCTATCACCTCCTAATTATATGAAAAAAAGCTTTTTATAAACTACCATTAAACTACTTTCAACTCTAAAAAATTTAATTCATAATAAATCTTTTAAAAGCAGCCTTGCTGAGTTTCTGACTAGCAAAATATATTACAGTGTAAATGAATACCTGAACAAAACTAATGAATCAATATGACTTTTATTTTTACTAAGTTCTTATTTGATTTACTCTTACTTAATATATAGAAACTCATTTTTTATTTTTATTTTTTTCCAACTTAAAAAAAAATCTTAATGCATAAGACATATTCTTGTATATTTTATTTAGGTCAGTTATAATCTTAACAATGTCATCTGTTTTTTATCTCTGCGATTCAAAACTTTATGTGACTAAAAGAATTATTTATTTATCTATCACTTCTCTGTCACGAACGTTATTGGAAGACTGGATCAACGTTATTTCACTTGCTCGTTCTAACAGTTCAAAGTTTAAAAGAAGTAATTCTATTACCAAGGTACTATTATTTTGTGACACTCGTTGTTAGTAGAGAGACGCAATCAGCAGGATGGTTATTCCATTTGTTTGTCCAAACAGTTATTAAAAGGGTATTCTCAGTAATCCTTTTGCCAGGGTAACAGGTGACGCCTCAGTAATAGTATTATTTATCCTATTACGTTTGACAACGCCCGCCTCTAATTTGTCTTTCCGCAGATCTGGGTGACGCTCGACCTGATCCGCTACAGCGGGCAGGTGTGCAAAGAGATCTGTGACTACTTACACATAGAGCTGTTCAGAATACCCGTCAAGGAGCACGCCACCGTACATCACACGTCCAAAAACGGTACGCCAGCCAATGTAGCCCCTAGCAATACGGATAAGGGTAGAACCACCCGGTCCAAGCGGCACCACCATTGAGTAGAAGCATTCTTGTACAACTGTGTAATTCTATGGGTTGTTACTGTTGATTGTGTCGGATTTATAACATTTCGTTTCTCCTACTAACCATCAACTATGGTTTATCTCCATGACAACTCAAGTGCTTCTGGTAGTTAGCGCCTGGGAACTGTATATTGCTCTGTTTCCCCCTCTTGTGTTATGTACTTGATTTTGATTTCATTTGACTCCTTAAATATTTTGTATTTTTTGTGCTCAGCACCGTTTCTTGTAACCTTTTTTCAATGTTCTATTGTACCGCTGGTAATACCGTTGTACATTGTTCTTGCCGATATCATAAAGTATTTATTTTTGTAGTTGTATTTATTGATGACTGTATGTAAATGTGTTAAAACAATAATACATATGTGAGTGATCATTTCTCTGAATGTTCGACGGAATATTCAATATTGTTAAAAATGATATTGAAATAGTTGTCTATGTGATACTGGCATAAAGATTTATTGAATTTATCAATTCAGCGGTGTATACTTTTGTGAACTCTTTTCTCAGGCATACTTAATAACAACTGTTCTTAATGTTTTTAAATAATAAATTTAAAAAAAAAATCGATTGTCTCTGAAAGAAACTCAAATTTGTTGATTAGTTATACTAAAGATACAAGAGATACCGTAGTTTAATCTATTTTTTACAGGTTTAATTTCAATCTTTTTATACAATATAAAAATAATCACTAAAACTTACAACCGTAACAAACTTAGTGATAAAATATTTGTTCTTTTAAAAATAGTGGTCAATTAAATGTGATTTATGAAATAAATCTTTTACTGCTACACTTATAGTTTTGTTAACAATTAAAAATGTGAAAAGAAATTTTCAATCGCTCATCATAAGCATTGTCAAACAATGCTAGATGAGATTCAATCTACCTGAGTGTGAAAGTAATATTTTGTTCCCTGTATATGTATCACTCGGCAGAATCCTTTCTTTGTTTATTTTATAGCTTGATGTGTATAGTGTAACACATATTTGTGTTATTGTAATCAAATGCTCCCCTAGATTGTGTATATAAATATAATTTTCCTCAAAGTTACTCTTATTTATTTGTTTAGTTGTACAGTAATACTTTGCAGTCAATTGTTACTATTATTTGTTAATGTTAACACGGTTAGTTGAGTTACCATCAACAACCTGTAACCGTTGGAAACTAATAAAACTGCTGAATCAGTCAGATAATAGTATTTTTAAACACTACCTTCCAAAGTAGATATTTTGGTTCTAATCATAAACATTTTATAGTTGGACAAAGAATTGTGAAGCGAGACAATGTTTAACAGAAGGTAAAATTGTTTTACTAGGCCTACTAGATCTAATGTTTTAAACTACGTGGGTAAAAACTAACTTTTTGTTTGATTTTTGAACTAGGTAAAAGTTCTGATATAATAAGTTTTGTTATATTAAAAAAAAAATTCTAAATCAGGTAAGCCTGCCATCCCAACAAAAAATTGTAGACAGTGGCATTCTGTTTTGAATACAAATACATTTTAATATTGCCTGTGTTATCTGTTATTTCTGGTTTATTGTACTTTTAATAGTTTATCAATATAAGTCATATATTTTATATTTTTATATATTCAACAAAGAATTTTCGTAAACTCATTTCAATTCACAAAAAATGTACTCAACAGTTTTGTACACGTAACAGCAATTTCCATAACAATTGTGGTAGTTCAATTATTATAATTGATCTCCCAGTGTTCGACTGCTATTTAAACCATTAAATAATTATGTTCTACCTTTGGTAATTTAGTAAGACTGCTCTTCTTTGTTCAAAATTCCATTCCAAAATGTTCAGAGAATAATTACTGAAAAAAGTAATGGATGAACCTGAGTAAATATTTTAAATTAAATGGCTAATTAGTTGGTTTTTGTGGGATATAGTTCAGCTATCTTACTGAGAAGATTATGGTGGCCATTAGATAGGTACCTAGAAATGTATTTTAAAAAATCTTCAGAATTTTTTGTTTTATAAGAAAAATGTTGTGCAATATAATGTCAAATCAATTTAATTTGAGAAAATCCAAACATGGTCCAGATCCAATGTTCCTATAGACAACTATGGGACGCCCTGGTATATAGTCCTCGCCACCCTAAGTTGAGGCAGCCAAAGGCCGCACTAGATGCGGCCTTGGGCTGCCTCAACTTAGGGTGGCGAGGACTATAGTGTTTAAAGTGGAACTTCTAGGACAAGGGCTCAGATTTAAATCCTAATAATCACTATATGATTTAACTGATAATTTTATGACCCCAATTTAGACCCTACTTATCATGCAAAAGCAAACATTTTAATTAATTTTTTTTTTTTATTGATCTAGTTGCAATAGAATATTGAAAATTTGGATGTAAAAATCCAGACTGTCAATTATCCTGATTTGTCTTTAGCAAGCAATACAATTTCTTACTGTCTTTTAAAACTGATGACATTGCTAAAAAACAAACCACTTCCATAGTTCAAAATCCTATCCCACATTTTTATAAAAGCTCAAAAGTAGTGATGTTTTTACTGTGCACTGTACACATTATGATGAAAATTAAATACGAAACAGTGCTTGAACCTAAAATATGTTTTCAATTCTTCTCCCTTATAGATCTTTTAATTTACCTATAAAAATACAATTTTAAAATGTATCTATACAGATAGTGCAGGCTGGCCCTTTTTAAGGTAATTCTGGTCCAATTAATCCACATTATTTATATTCTACTGTGTACAAAAATTGTATAAAACAAAAAGTTTAGTTCCTTTAGGCAATGAGAAAATGTTATACATTGAATAACCACCTCCTCAAACAGCCAAAAGATAAAATTCATACAGATAAAATAGTTAAATGTAAAAATTTTACATTTTTCATTATACCTCCCTTTAATCGCTTTTTTATACCCTACAATACCTTTTATAGTTCCTATAAGTAATCGCTTTATTTATTTGAAACTCCTTAGTTCTAACCACAGGTGCTCACGTCTTCAAGAAATGCTGAAAAAGTTGTGGATGCTTTGAGGAAGCTTAAACCAGGTCAGGGATATTGCTTGGTGGTTTTGATGAGTAGATTGTGCTTTTGTTGTTTTGTTGACTCGTAGGCATTCCATCTACGGAAACCAAATTGTAGCCAGTTGTTTGGGACTACCCAAAGAGGACATTGCTGAACGAGTCTTTCATAGAATTTGCTTCAATCGTTCATCATTTTATTTTACTTCTTTCCATACATAAAAAAAATGAAGACAGTATTGTTTTTGTCAAAATTTTTTAGTTTAAGATTTTGGTGGAAATATTTATATATATTTTTTGGTACTTGGGTTCCCCTAAAGTGATGTATGTGTGTGTGGATGTGTACATAGATACAAACTACACCTGTGGTCCGATTTTGATGAAATTTCTTATGTAGGTACTATACCATGGCATATCCCTGTTTTTTTTTTAATTTTAATATTTAATGGTAATTTTCCCATAGAAACCCATAAAATATAATTTGGATCCCCACAAAATATGTGTGAACGATTTTTATTAAAATGTAGTATCTTATGGGCCTTATGGACAAACTTTAAACAACATGGTACAACTCCTAATGCTGTAAAAATTATGATTCTCAAGTTGCAATTTTTGTGATTTTACCCCTAAAATATAATTACTCCCATCAATAACCCTTGTGTTGTTGACATGCTAATGGGAGAAAGTATGTGTCAGTTTTCTGATACTGTTTATTTTGTACTATGATTGTTTATTGTTTTGCAAATGATACAATATTTTACAGTAAGTTGCTCTTTGGCATGGTAACACGTTTTGGAGAAGGAAGGATACAATATTACTCTGCCGGTGTCTCATTTATTTACAACTATTGTATTATCATAAAACTGGCTACATATAATTTTGGCATGAGAATGGAATGTCTACAGTAGTGTATCATTCTATTGTTAAACGTTGTATTTTATGCTTATAAAAGCTTCAAACCTTGGTTTTTGTTGAAATTTGTACATATTAATATACTTTATAGTAATAATTAGGTATAAGACATTTAAGGTTACTTAATATAAGCAGTTCTATTATATTTAAAAAAATTCTAATTTATGCATGCGTGAATGGAACATTTTTTTCCAATAATCTGGCTGTTTTTGGCTAATTTCTGAACTATCGTTGGTTTATTATTGATTGCATTTAGTTTGCATGACATACAGTGAGTAAAATCATCATTAACTCTAAGCAGAGTGTATAACTATTGACTATTGGATACTGAAGTTGTATTGATAGTCAAAGGTATAACACATGCAAGCATTCGGTCTTTTTACGACTTAAAAAATTATAATTCTAATGTTATAAATCCACGTTGAGTGCTGATGACGGGAATTTTTGCTATTGCTTAACATAAAAATAGATGCAACTTTCATGTATTAACATGTAGACAGCACAAATAATGTTAGCTAAGATTTTGCAAAGGATAAACAAATAAAGAATAAGAATCTATTTTTACCACTTTACAGTAATAATTTTATTAGTTAATTTTATTTTTTTCCGATATCAGAAGGGATTTTTTGTATCTTTTACAATTGCATCTTTACTGTTCTTTTTTTGTCTCAATACAAATTTTATACTTCATTTGTCATGGCTACTTTCAAAGAAAATTACTAACAAACTTGTGAGAACTGATTTTTGAAAAAATCACAATCAAAATCCTCTTAAATTTTTAAACAAAGTTTAAAAGTTATACACTGCATTTAAAACGTTTAAGCCGGGCTTACAAGATGCCAGTTGGTGAGACAGTTGTCTTGGCCGATTGTAATCACGTGATTGTGGAATTGTCGGATGCCAGTTGCCCTGCTCGCTCATTTTCCTCAGTCTACACCTGGCAAAACTGAATTTCAGGGCAATTGTGAGGGTAGTTTGCAAGGCAGTTGACCTGAAGTGTTTGCACAAAGCCAATAATTTCATGCCAGTCAGTTGTCTTCTGACGTCTTACCTACTGGCATCGTTTAAACCCGACTTTAGGCATTACCTAAACCATACAAGAAAAACATTAAGCTTAACTATACAAAGACAGTGTTAGTTATTTCACGTACATTTTAAGTTATGTTTGCATTATCCATTACCCACAGCCACTCATTATCATGGATAATATGGAGTCTACTGTAAACACTTTGCTTTCATACTACTTAGTTCTTGACAAATGATTAATTTATGTACATTGTCTACTGTTTTGGGGGTTATGAAAGTAGTTGATTTTTACAGTATTTTGTTTTGTAGGTTTTAGTTAAAAGGGAACGATGGTTTCCATGGTTTTATTGGGATGATTGCAGTTGATGAGGAACATGTAATTGAGATCAGCGAAGATAAAGTGCCTCTGCTAGAATGTGAAGATATTGATGAAGGATGATCCAGAGAGTTTGTATTGAAAGGAAAATGCAACATTCGTAGAAGACTCTTGAAGATGATTCTTCCACGGAATGGAAAAGAATCGCAATACTTACCTCGAAAGTGTTCCTCATCCCAACCACCTGGCAGTTCAACTAGTTCAATTTAATTTATGAATATTTACCTCAGTTAAAAATATGTAAATAGGAACTTAGTGTTGTGTAACTATATTCTTATCAATGGAAAATAAGTATTATCCTAATACTGGTGTGTAGATCAAATAAGCTATTTGGCTAAAAAGGCTCTTGAAATGCATTTAGATTAACATAGAATAATTATGTGTCCAATTCCAGCCATGAAACTATTTATAAGTCAATATTGGATAAATTACAAGAATACAGAGAAGTAATGTATGACAAAATTGCTTATGGGACGACTGTGCGCTTTCAGCTCTAGTATGTTGTTCTGGAAATATACTTGTGACGAGCAAGGAAGAGCCTGAGCGTTGAGCACTGTGCAGAAATTGCACAGGACACAGGGTCTTCCTCCACCGTGAGGGCAAGGGGGCGGTGTAGGATTTTGACTAGACACCAGCGACTAGTGCTAGACACCATTTATGTATGTAAGATTGAATGATTCCTCTCTACATTACTTCTCTGCGCAAGAATTACATATATAGTATCAAAATTGAAATACAAAAAGCACAACATTTATTGATAAATTTTGAACTACTAAATAAATATGGTATTAGATGGCCTTCTCAGACATAGTTTAATAACAGTTATTATACTTTATATCCTCATGCATCACAGTAGTCTGGCCAAGATAAGTTAACCCTTAAAAGGGAAGCTGAACAACTTCCCCTTCCTTTCAAAGTCCACAAGAGCTGTTTCTTTTTTGTACACTCTGCCCAATACGGGCAAACTCGACACGAGGTTCAACATAGAACTGACTGATGGGATTCAAACCATCAATCTTCAGTCCTGCTCAGAGAATTATCTTAAACTCGGCCATTGACCAGACACTAACAATACAGTCTAGTTTGTGATTATTCATTTAAGTTACCATCCAATAATGGGTTCTTCTTAATGTTGGTTGATTTGAAACTATTTGTTCATTCCAATAGTTCATCAATATACTTGTTAAGTTGTAATATGTGGTTGTTTCTTCTAATGAGATTATCCTGTGTGTTAATACTCATAATAAACTGAATTATGTAGAGTATTTGTTTCGCAAATTGTAGGTTGTGTTGTGTTCTAATGACACAATAGTGTAGTGTCAGAGCTTAAATAGGCTACTTGTTTGTATTTTGTTGAGTTCTACAAAGTTTCCCAAAAGGGAATTTGATCCCCTTTTTTTAATTGGCATGGACATTAAAAGTGCTTGCTTGCATTTGTTGATAAAAAAAATTATTTGTAGTCGAACTGAGGAAATTGAAACAATACAAGCATTGGGAGAGCCAACAATAATTTATTAAAGGATTTACTAATGTAAAACTTACCAACGTTACTTTGTGTTTGAAGATAATATTATCAGTTTAGTGTAATAACTTAGATAGAATAGATTATTTTTACTCAATTGTTTAGCTTCAAATGAGTACAAATGCAGGGCCGGTTCTAGGAATTTTTCAGAGTTAAGCGAATACCGAATCAGCGCCACCTAGAATCAGAGCCCCCCCAACCACACCCCCCCCCCCATAAACGTAACTTAACACTATTTGTGAATTTTTTTCCCAAAATGTTAGGAAGAACTTTTTATAAGTGTAGGTTAGAAGAATACTTGCAATAAAAGACATTATTCAAATATTGCTTATTATTCACAGAAATTTAACGTTTTTACTCATCATATACACTTTAGCAAAACCCAAAGTTAACAGCTTATTTCTAAATGTGAAATCAATTTTTACAGGATAACTTGGATACGATATAAGTTTTTATAAAGCCTATTACAATGAAAAACAGGTGTAGGTAGATGACAAGAGAGGAATTTTTAATTGAATACATTAAACATGTAGAAAACACGAAAACCCAAATTTAAGTATAACCTTGCCAAAAGAATACAGAATGTTCAATTTGAACAGTTCAAAAGTTACGGTGTCGTAGGCTAACTGTTGTGTTTGTGTGAACAGCAAATTTAAGGATGAAGCTTATAAGCTGCCTGATAGTGGCGCCGCGCTGTACGCTGCCGAGCGTCAGCTCATTACAAATCGAAACTGCAAATCAATGCCTTGAGTCCTTGAGTTGAAGTGCTGGACAAGTATACACATTTTTCAGGTGCTGTTGGTACAAACGGAATAAATGCCTTTGGTGTGGTGTTTTGGATACTTGAACTCTGAGTGAAAAAAACAAAATTAAGTTGTTCACTTGTCAGTAAAGTTGTTTCCAATTTTGTCTTCTAAAAAAAGAAATTGTGTCCCGTTGGCGCCACTTTTTCGCGCGTAGTTCGCGTATGGGTTAAACCGGCCCTGTACAAATGAGTCCAAAAATTGGGAAATTACTCTCAATGTATCTTAAATTAAACATTTTTTAACCTCTTTGGAATTTAATTTATAAATAAAGTCAATCACAAAACAAAAGCTTAAAAAATAACCGTTTTAGTGAATTTCCCATATAGCGAATAAGCTATTACAGTATCGTAGGTCTCATTGTAAGTCCTAGACCAGGGTCCAATTTCCTTTTTAGTGTTGATGTCCCCAAAGGCCAAAAACACCATCCGTTCAAATTCATATATTATATACAGGGTGTCCCAGAACCTTCTACCAAAATTTAGGGCATTGTTTCTGAGTAAGAAACATATCTAAATATCATATTTAAATTGTCCGGATGTCCTTAGTCACTCACACAGCCGCCATTTTGTTATTTCACTTATTAATGCTTCCAGCATGCTCTGCAACTTAACCTCCAGCGGTCACGTATCACTAAAGCTGCAAGGTGTCAATTGATTTGTAATAAAATTGCCTTAAAAAAGTAATTCTTGTAACATTCTTGTAAAATCAACAGTTTTCGAGTTATTTAAGAAACAAAGTTTTAAATGGCCACCATTTTGTTTAATGAATATGAAAATTGTCATAATTTTTTGGTAGCTTTGTCTAGTAGTTTTATACATACTAAAATGATTTTGTCTTTAGTGCATGAAAAATATTTATGAGTTATTTAGTCAGCTGGGGAATAGAAATGACAATAGTTATTATGGCATTATAACCATATGGTACCATAGTAATTACGGTATACATGGTTACTATGACAAAAAAAATCTAAGATTTTTAAAATGCATTTTTTCTGTAAAAATATACCTAACCATTCTTGTAATGGCTGATTTGAATTGGCAACTAAATAAGTAATGTTGATCAAATGTTTTGCTAACCCTGAAAATGTGTTTACTCTTTTAAAAAGCCCCCAAAAAATATTTTATATCGTTTATTTTGCTTTGTTCATATAATGACCATTCAAAAAATATTTTATGGCTATATATTTATTTTGATTTTATGTTTTACTTGTGTACAATTTTATGCTAAATAAGAATCAAGCCCTCAAGTACAACAAATAATTTATTTTAGTCAGTATATGTACACAAAACCCAAAACATGTTTTTTGCATGAAATTAAATGCAACGGTATGGGACAACAAGGGGTCAACTAATCAAAGTGGAAAGGGTTATGTTTATTTAAACAAATTTGCAAACCAGCATGATCGGACTATGGGAACGATTTTTTTGGGGGTTTATGGAGTAAAAATTAGTTTTTCCCATTTTTGACCCTCAAAACATAAAATTTGGCAATTTCTTTCCAACCCATTTTGTAGATCTTAAAAAAAATAATATTTGTATATTGAAGCGTTGTTGTAAGCCGGTTACAGAGAAAATAAAAAAATGTAAATTTAAAATTCCCATGTTATACTTATGGGGAATAATTAAACTGTTTTAGTTTTCTTGTTTATTGGTATGTTTTGATCGAACTTGGCCAATTTGTTTATTTAATACTAAGCTATGAACATTTCAATAAAAACACTATTAATTACCTTCCCTGTAGCACTAGTTAGTACCCATTAAAATTAATTTTGCATAAAAAGAAAATAAATCTAACAATTTTAGGGGAATATTTGAGTAGTAGTCCAGCCAGGTAAATGGAAATTCGCTTAGTCTATGGCAGGGGTATTTTGACTTTGGTATTAATCACTACAGCATGGTAAAAAATTATTTAATCACAAAAATATATTAAAAAATAGTTATCATAAACTACCTGTAGCTCATAAGCTAACCTACATAACAACAATATGATCACAATGCCTTAAAAATAAATTATCTCAGGAATAAACTATATAAACAATAGGCCTAGCAATAATAAAAATGGTGATGACAACTTACTTGCAAGTACAATTGTTGGAAATATTTTCTGAAATAATGTTAAATATTTCATTAGCATTACTGGTATATTTCGTTCACAAAATTTAGGTTGTTTTAGGGGAAGAAAAGGTGTTTTTTAACTTCAACCTACCTTGAAAACAATTGGCTATCAGCTGAGGCGAGGAGTAAAAATAAAAATAATTTATTCAACCGGCAACATACATTAAGCAAAGTAGAGGGGGTGGGACTTCCCCTCAAACCGTCTAAATTTTGTGAACGGACTATTAATATCTGCCAGACTATTATTACCGTACTTCAACAGTAGGCTAAGTAAGATAAGATTGCTTGGTGCGGGTTCTTTCTAGAAGGCCTAGATTAAGTGTTCAACACGGATTAAGTGTCCCAACACCAAACAGATTTTAGCACTTGCCTATAGTAAAACCACTACTTGAGGCCAATTTTCAGCATCGAATATTCAAATAATAGGTATTAAATATATGTTATAATAACACGTGAAAACTCTTTAACTATTTTCACTTAACAAATTTCTAAAACTGTAATGCCTGTGAATTCACAAATATTTTTTCAAAAGATAAAAATAACTACCTTATATTCAAAAACGAACCAAGGAGAAGGATACAAGGGTGATAAAGATTTTGTATTAACAATTTTTTTTAACTCAAAAATATGTTGTGGATACAGTTATAAGCTTTCTTCGTAAAGTACTTGCCTTAAAATAAGTTAATTAGATAGGAAATTTTTGTATTTTATTAGTGTCTAAATAAATGTTACTGTCAAATCCTTGTTTTTATTTCTCCCTTAGATGACTAGAGTGGTTTCAGTTTTCTTGTTCATTGATTATTATTTTATTAAAGCTTGTATTTGGTAGATGTAAGAATTGTCAATTGCTAAGAACAAATTTTGAGAAAACAATTCTCACATGCTAAACAACCTCTTTAATATAATAACACTTTATATCTATTTCATGGTAACTTTTTTTTACATTACATCTTGCCAACTAATCCAAGTGTGATTGTGCAAGTCAGGATTCGCTTTGATATCCAAAGGTTTATTTTGGGGCTTAACAGCATTCCTATTCTGTCTCTGCAATCGGTTTTCAAAATCTTTTACGATCCCAGTATCTTTTACCACTATATAGATATTTTCTTGTTCACACGGATCTTTATGTACATTGAATATACACGGAGTCTTGTCACACAGGTCGGTTTTGTTCTTCTTATTCTTAATCTTGTTCTTACACACAACTTTAAGCATACTTCTTGTATTTTTTATCTTGTCTATAGTTAATGTGGTATTTTTAACTGATTGGATCTTGGATAGGTGGTTGGCTACGTCACTTCCTAAGACTTGTGAAACATAAGTTTCTATTGGTATTTGATATTTTGTATCTTTCCCTGACCAGATGTCCAAGAACCCCAACAGATGTGTTCCTGAAACGCAAATAATTAATTAATCTATTTTATTTTGAAAAGAGAGGTAAGCTGGCTGATAAAATGTGCAGTAGACGCTCTATTAAGAGATCTTGGATCATATACCTCTGCTTGGGCAAAAATAACGGCCAGTTTATTTGTCCTAAACTTTTAAAACTCTATTGTTAAGCCGGCCTTTTTAAAGAATCTAGAGACTTCCCCTTCCCATCCTTACCTAGGGAAGGTAACAAAATTGAATCATGTTCTTTGAAATCTAGTTTTGTATGAAACACAGAGTTTGATATATAATTTTTCTAGAACATTTTCAAGTATGATTAAACCTATTTAGTCAAGTAAATAATAGGATTCCAACAATATGCATGTGTATGAGGGTGATAAAAGAAAATTGTACAAGCCACTTACTGAGGCCAAATGGCAAATAGTCTGGTAGGTGCAAGAAAAATGGTTGGTCTGGAGACCCTACGCTAGGCTACGCTGATAATGTTTGTAAATAAAATGCTAACAAGTTTTTTTTAAGATGTTGCACTCAAAAACCAGTTAATTAACTAGTATTATAGTATTTTACTGTGTGTTACAGAAAATTACCAAATTTGTCTTCCCAACCCTTTTCTTATTAGTATAGAGGAGACAGATAATCTTTCCACAGTAAGGTTGATTGATACAATTATACAAGTACATAATCAGTTATTGTCGGGACCACGTAAGTTTGCAGTTGGTGGCAGCCAATCACAAGACGAGGCTAGTGCGACGTTGCCACATCACCCATTGACAAAACTAATAAAAATATACAAAGCTATATTTTCAAATCAGCTGGTATTGTTAGATTTGGCAACACCGCACGGTTCTCATTGGTTCATTGAAAACCCTATGGTAAATAGGCTCCTCCCTCAACTGCAAACTTATGTGGTCCCGACAATAGCATACTTTTTTGTTACTTTTATACACAATGTTTTACAAAAAAAAAACATTGCAAAATTAAGCGTCAGTATGAGCAGCTGAGTAGGCCTATTTGTCCGTGTTAGACGAGGACTCAATCCCGTGAGGATCATCCGTTAAGAGAGAGATTGTTCTGTATTCACAAATGATGAAAATTGAAAATATTATTGAGAAACTGAATGCTGCCTAGATACAGTAATGCCAATAGCGGCTATTTGACTTACCGTTGATATACTTGAGAGGGCCGACACGCAAAGATGCTAGTCCAGTCTTCTCGTCCGCATTGTGAAGTATTTCGTGCCTGGGTAGTGGTAGCCTTGTACCTGACATCAACCCAAGCCAATGGTCTGCTCCGTCAATCTCTCCCAAATCCGCAACATCACCCCCTAAACACAAAATAATTTATCACCAAATCCAATGTGAAATGTTATTGAACCACAAAATAAACTTGCTTTAAGTATCAACATAAGCTTTTACAAGATATTTACTGGTCATAGAAGCCGCTTATTGAGAATTAAAGGTATTCTAAATCACATATTTCAGATTTGTATCAGGGCAACTTTAGTGAAATAATTCAAATATTTATGTTTTATCCACTAGAAGCAGAAAAAACTTTGCAAAAACTGCACTGTTTAGAGTGTTTATTTTAAAAACGATGAACAAAAAAAATTTAAATTCCAGTTTGTGTTTCTGTCTTACAGAGTTCTGAAATGTAATTCCTATTGTAATTTTTATGGTAAATTTGTTCCTGAAAATTCTCAGATTTGTTTAAAGTAACTACATTGCTAGATAAGTTTTTGAAGTTTTAGGTTTTTGTATTCAAAAACATTATTTTTGTTGTTAACTGCTTAGGAAATCAGTTTGTTATATAGAGCTAGACATTCCATCCCCATATTAAAGTGGTCGCCAGGGCTGTAATGGGCTGTAGGATGATAAATAGAATAACCCTAGTTACTGCTGCTTTGTCTGGGTTGGAGAGTTGAGCTAAACCAACCCAAAAATACATTTAAATGAAAGTCATTAATTACGTTACTGTACCTATTTCGTTCACAATATTTAGGCGAATTTATATTCGCGTCGTCGAAAAGGTTGTTAGATGAATAAATAGGTAGGCGTACGTACCTAAGAGATGGGCTATGGGCCTATTTGCTGTATGGTCTACTGGTCCAGCGATTGCATTACACGGTGAGTAGAAACAGAAAGGGACACATTGGAAAAGCGAGTTTAGCATCATCCGTAAACCTCTGTTACAATCACCCACTGCAGTTGTGATTTTTTTACTTTACTTACACTTTACACAATCGCCATTGAAGCGCCGTCAATGAGTGGAAACCTTGTTTGTAAGCTATTGGCGACGACCATTAAGTGTTCCAGCCATATACAACACTGATTCAAGGTATTTTTTCTGGTTATCAAAACTCAAGAACAATTTTATACACAAAGAATTTCTGGTTCCTGACCTGGATGATGCCTAGTTATTTAATTTCATTTACCGTTACACTATAATATTGCACTTGCGATTATTTAATCCGTTATGTAAGAAAAAACGTTTTTAACCTCACTTGGTTGGTATTTGCTTTCAAAATGTGATTCGAAATGGTTGCGGTATTTGTAAACATATCAGTGACAGCTAGAAAAAATAATCTTGATCCGAACAGCTGTTCGTTATTTCATAGACAATTATGTGATAAAAATTGAACAAAAATTTGACAAAAATCTCACAAAACTGCATTTTTGAACGTCCATAATTTTATTTACAAAGTAGTGAGGCCATATTTTAATCACTAAAGACACTCTTGCCAATCCAGTGAATACATTAAAATGACTTGGATCTTGATAGGTACTCTCGTTTTCACGGAGAAGATTGCGTAAAATGCCATCTTGAGTGTTACAGACAGATAAGACAGACAGAAATAGAGATGAGACTCGTTTCTGCTTCTTTAAATACGTAAAACGTAAAAATAACCTAAAAATATATAATTCTGAGCAATGTACAGACAATTTTATTTATATAGAAGAAGACTGTGCTGGTTTCTAAAATTCTATTATCGTCCTTTATTCCTTGTCACCAACATGATAGGACATGACAGGTGCTATAGCTTACACTAAGTTGATCTATCAATTTTACTTGGTTGAAAACCCTGCGTATTTTCCAGAAATCATTGATTTACTTAAGCGCAATCTGTTGTGGCTTGTTAATGACAACCATTCTGATTTAAAAGCTGGCCACAACTTTACATGAGAATGGATCGTCTTGCTCTATCAATATTCAAAGGTTTCACCAACTCACATTGGATCAGTTGTAAATCCATCAAAAGCCCTGTATCAGGAACGTCATTACAATATCTACGTCACCTAACATAAATTTGTTTTTGTTTAAAAGTTAACTATTTGATTTAAATTGCACTTAGTAACTAAGCTCACCAGCGGCTGAGTAAAGGGTAGGCAGCCAATCAGAGATGTGGAACAAGTTATTGTAGACTCGTTGATTGTCTTTGATGAGAGGAGACCAGACGAAGCTGACGGTTCGGATGCCACCTTCCCACAGTGTTCCTTTCTCCTGCAATAAAACATCAACATCATGGGCCCATCTCAATAATCGATAAGTGATTGATAAATACCAAATTATTTTGACCTATTATTAGTCTACAACACTTATTGTGATATCCTTTCTGAAGCTGAAGCAATATTATATTTTATTATTTTTGTTTACACTGTCCATTTTTTCACAATACTTGATGTCCATACTCTTAGGTACGTACCTGAACTTTTTCCAGCAATGATCCATTTCTTTATATTTTGCTACTTCTCAGATACCCTCAATCCTTTCCTTAGAGAAACTTTACATGGAAAAAGACAAAGCAGTAACACAGCATCAGTATATATATTATAAACTTTACCCCTTTAAGAGGCCAGTTGGAGCCGTGGTTGACATGGAGTCCGTTAGTTGCTGCTCCATTGTCGGATAGGAACACAAGAATGGAGTCTTGCAACATCCCTGCGGCACTCAGAGCTCCTACCACCTTGCCTACCGACTCGTCCAGCTTGCTAACCATACCTGTAGACAAACACTCTCATCATTATATTTATTATGTAGTTATTTTTACGAGTAGCTTAAGTGACCAACCATAAGTATTTAAAAATATCTGACTATTTGAAACTGATCTTTTCTGACACACCAGAGGGTGCAAATATTTTAGCAGATAATATTTATAGCAAAAAGAACACACCTTATTACCTTTCCTGTACTCATTAAACCTAAGTATTCATTAAACTTAGTCCTATTTAAATTATTTAAGGGAAAATCAAATCAGGCAAATGGAAATTTGCTTAAGAATAAGAATGCTTTATTGCCGTTACACTGGTTTACATGCATGGCACAGTCAAGGAAATGTCTTAGAACTAAAGGTTTTAACTTAGGTTTAATTTAACATCATTATGAAGTCCATTTCTCTATATGACACAGGTCCACAGGTCCAGGGACAGGCTTAGTCTACAGGTTTGCTGCAGCAGGAGATTTATTTATTTAAAATTCACTTAAGATAAATTCACTCTAGTGCAATGCACCTAAGCATGTTAAAACTCATGTTTGGTGGCTAACTAAAGATAGTTACCTGCGTACACCCTCCTCTCACGGTCCGCGATGTGCTTGTGTCTATCAACGTGGTCCGCTGGGGCCTGTAGAGGTTCGTCATAGTTTCCGGCGTGAGGAGCGAGATGGGCGAGGTAGAGGAATAGAGGACGAGAAGTGTTGTGCTGCGTGATGATATCTGCAGCTCGCTCTGTGTAAAGGTCTGTAGAGTAGCGGCCGACTCCCTCCCACGTCACTGTGTCGTTAAACCTCATGTCGTAGCCCTCAAAGTTTGTGAACTGTAAGAGTCAAAGATATATAACATGAAATAAGAGTGATATTCTTAGAAATGTAGAAGATTTATTTCCATTCTAGCTCCTGAGCTGTTATATTCATCAACAATTTGAAATTGAGCTGTAATATTCATTAACAATTTGAAATTGAGCTGTATTTTGGATTTATAAGGTATGTAAACATATTTATCATATTATAAATGTACCTACTACTTCCATTTCAAAAGGCCCCTCGGATGAATGAATTATATTTAATAGATTGTGAAGTGAGTTTTTTTGTGCTGTCCTGAAACTCTTTTCTTGCAAACTAATCCATTTCTTATTCTGTAGTATGATGGAATGTTCTGTAGCATATTCCTTAAGTGCTTTTCCTTCAAAAACTATCATTGAATTTGGTTTTAAATTTGAATTTCATCTAGAAAGGTTAGAAAGCCATTCCTGTAGTCCCCTCAAACAAAGCCCTGGTAATTAGGCCTATCGTACTGTAATTTTTGAAGAAAACATCCAAAAGGTTAAATGATATAAGTCAGATAAGCTACTTACGGACGCCTGCACAGTATGTTTGTAGTAATCTTGGTAGCCGTTGTAAAAACCGTAGTGAGAACTAAACCCTCGGTACGTGGGAGTGTATTGCTTCTGGAAGTAGCCAAGGTGCCACTTCCCCACGGCATGACTCGTGTAGCCGAGAGTGTTCAAGTGTTGCGGAAGGAGTTTGTAGTCCAATGGCAATCCCCACGGTTCAGGTTCTAAAATGACCCCATGCTGCATTCCTGTGCATCAACAGAAGGGTTAGTGAAATTTCTTCATGTGATGTGAACATTTTAGACTAACGAACTGTTAAAGTCACTTAATTGAACAGTGGTGAGCTATGGATCAAATTAGAATTATCTAAGCTTTGGGATGTTTTAGAATGCTCAAAATTCGTCCAAAGCATAAAAAAAAGAACTTACAGAAAATAAATAATTACATCATAAAAAATTTGTATACTAATGTAATTACATTGATAATTATAAGCCTATAATTTTTAATTCCACCTTTTAGCCAGCTTAAAAAAATGTTTTGATCGCTTTATATTAAGAAAGTTGATAGAGGAGAGCCTTTTCCCGACCCCTGGAACAAGATATTGTTTAGCCCTCCTAAGAAAAGTTGCTGCGAGTGTTTGAATTCAGCTTAAAACATATAGGACTGTCTTTTTAACAACAAACCGTGTGCGGTGTAGTTAAATATGTGAGAGAAATTGGGGGTTTTGGTATGAAAGAGGTTTATTTTATGAGAGAAAAAGAGGATACATGTTTGTATGAGAGGTGATTCGAGGTGAATAAATGCAAAAATGGAAATTTACATATGTTTATATGATGAGAATTACAGATCTAGACTGTTGGGAACAAAGACATTTAAAATAATACAAAAACACATAGACAACTTGACTGAACAAACCGCTCAAATGTGATTCACAATGAAAGCTTTTAAAATAAAAAAAATGTTGAGTAGGTACCTGTGTGAAGAGGATATCTGCCAGTGAGGAAGGCTGCTCTGCTAGGAGTACACAGGGGCTGGGCGTAGTGATGATGTAGAATTACTCCGTCGTAGGCCAACCTGTCTATGTTAGGGGTGAGAATCTGGTCTGAGCCGTGGAAACTTACATCATTCCATCCCTGGGACAGTTTGTTTGGTTATCTTCTAATATTGTAAAGAATATATAGTTTCTGTCTGTGTTCAAGAAATAAAACCAAATTTTACACCTGCACCTTCAAGGAGGCTCAATATATTGAATCAAATTCTGTTCTAAGACTAGCTAGATCTTGGTATGGAATGGTTGTATCTATACCATATAACATATTGGCTTCCTAAGATGCAGCCATGAATGGTAAAGCATTAAAAAGTTATAAGGTTTACCAACAGGGTGCAGCACTAATAACTTTTTTTGCATTTATGACAACATATAATTTGAACCAACTAGCAACAAAAAGCTGTGGAAAATGAGAATTCCATTTTTTTTTATTGTTATAGATGCAGTGGTAGAACAATGGCTATGGTAGGTGCTATAATACTATACATAGCATACCGTGAATTAAAAGAGCCAAATGTTTTCAAAACGTGTCCTCTCCCATTGCAAATGTTATCGGTATTGCACTAGTTTTACTGGAATAAGCATTTTATACTTATACGCCAACCCAGTACAAAGGACGGGTACTCTGCTAGTCTAACATAATGTAACTATAACAATAATTTCCTTGTAAGTATGAATGGACTAGCTAATAAAAACTGACAAAGTTGAAGCTGAATGCTTAGGTGCAAGAATTAACTTGACCCAAGTCCAGCCCTCCTTAGAATATTATTAACTCTTCCAGTCGTAACTACCGCTTCCACTTTAACACCAACAAGAAGAATATGATCATTAGGTTAGGATTATGGATTTACCATGTCATCAGCCATGAAGATGATGATGTGAGGTCTTGTGGCTGTCTCAGCACTCGTACACCACGTAGAACAGATCAAGATCAATCCCATCATCCGCAGCAGCCTCTGTCTTCTTCCGGAATTCAACATTTTGTCTGGAAATTGTTCCCAAAGATCATTAATTATTGTGTACCTTTTTTGCGCTGGATTAATAATAGTCAATGATTGTACATACAATTGATTTGTTGCCTATATCTATTTTACTGTGTTATACTGTCTCCCCCTATTCCTGTACATAGTATATGGAGAAAGTATTGTTTTTCTCAAAATTTTTAGTTTTAGTTTTGGATGAATATATCTGTTTGAAAAAAAAATTGGTTTTGAAGTGATTTCTGTGTGTGTGTGGATGTGTACAGAGCCACACATCCACTGTGGTCCAATTTTGATGAAATTTGGTATGTGGGTACTAACCAATTGTATCTCCAGCTATTTTTTAATTCATATTTTTAATGGGGATTTTCTATAAAACCTAAAAATAACGGGAAATTGGATTTCATAAAAACCGCCTAAACCATTTTGTTCAATATTTAGTACGGTATGTTATAGTCCTTGTAACTCTAAGCAAAATGGTACAACCCCCATTGTAGTAAAAAGTATAGTTCAAAAGTTACTGCAAATTATGTGTTTTCCATGAAAACCAATAAAATAACAGAAAACCCCATTTAAAAAAAGGCTTGACCGATTTTGATTCAAACTTAGTACCTTATAGTTCTTTAAACTTAAAACAAAAGTGTATAACCCCCATTGATGTAAAAATTTGGGTTCAAAGGTTATTGCAACTTTTGTGATTTTCCCATGAAATATTGTAGTTACTCTCATAAAGCACAATAAGTATATTGTATTTTGATGCACAATAAGCTTCGGTTGACGTGCTTGGACCACGCCTGGTTGACGTGAGTTCTTCCCTCTTACAATCATCTTACTCCCACGCTTACCCATGATAAGGAGTGAAGGCAAGCTAATGGGAGAAAGTATGTATAGATTGCTCATACCGTTTATTATGTAAGCCTATATTGTTTTCAGATATTGTGTTTCTTGATATAGCCAGCTAGGTTCGCACACTAATCTTGCCATGTTCTGGTTCCTTCCTACATTATTAGGCAGTTTTAGATCATGACATTATTATTTGTGAAACTTGTTTCGAATACCTACTGGAAAATTTTCCCAATAATAATTTAAAACAGATGTGCCATTTAACTTACTGTCTACAGGGTGTCACAAAAAAGTGTGATGGGCTATACAGGACCTAATTCTACATGCAAAAATAAGTCAAAAATTAAGAATAAAATTTTTTGGATTTCGGCTTAGTTTAGCCGTAATCCGCCATTTTGTTTTTTTGGGAAAATATTTATTATTTCAAAATCCCTTTGAGATATTTTTACGAAACTTGGCAATATTGTTTACACTATAGTAAGTAACATTTATAAAAAAAATTATTATTTTAACTTTCCAAATTTCAAAATGGCGGCCGTTTGAATTTTTTAATGCCAAATTTCATAAAAACCGGTACCTAAATCAAAATTTTGTAAGAGACAAAAGTTTTAGTATTTATTATGACAAATCCAACAAAACAAAAATGAATAAAATCGGTTCATAAATAAAGAAGCTGTGTTTATTTTAGTAATTTAGACTGAAATTATTAATATTAAAATGTATTAAATGTAATGTAATAATTTATGTAACGTATTAAGTAATTTTAGTCTAAATTACTAAAATAAACACAGCTTCTTTATTTATGAACCGATTTTATTCATTTTTGTTTTGTTGGATTTGTCATAATAAATACTAAAACTTTTCTCTCTTACAAAATTTTGATTTAGGTACCGGTTTTCATGAAATTTGGCATTAAAAAATTCAAACGGCCGCCATTTTGAAATTTGGAAAGTTAAAATAATATTTTTTTTTATAAATGTTACTTACTATAGTGTAAACAATTTTGCCAAGTTTCGTAAAAATATCTCAAAGGGATTTTGAAATAATAAATATTTTCCCCAAAAAACAAAATGGCGGATTACGGCTAAACTAAGCCGAAATCCAAAAAAATTTATTCTTAATTTTTGACTTATTTTTGCATGTAGAATTAGGTCCTGTATAGCCCATCACACTTTTTTGTGACACCCTGTATAAGCTTGCTTACTGGGATAAATGATCATCAGTATCATTTGTGGAGGAAATGAGACAATGTTTTATGCACATTTGGTGATGCGAGGATGGAGTATGTGTAACTTACAAGCTCTAAAACAATCCCCTAATTCCCTAAGACATCCTTTGAGTATTAATATTATTTTTTTTAGTATTTTTATAAAAAAAATTAAAATTTGTCACATAACAAAATTTTAAAATCTAAATAACTTAAAGGCCGTCATTGGGCCAGGGCTGATATACTTTTTCGCTTTGATGTTCCCAGAGAGGCCAACGCCGTCCATTCAAATTCATAATGTACATGGTCCTGGACGTACAATGTACCTTAATGCCTTTAAAAATTCATCAGCTTTACTTGCAATATTTTGCGGAATTCCATGGCCAGCACTTGGTGCATTTTTTACTGCTGTATTCCTTTAGTTGGTATTCTTTCTAGAGTTATATACAGGGTGAACAACTTAAAAACTGTGCCACCATTGGTATCTCAGAAACTATTAGATTTAGAGAGAACATTAAATGGGGAACTTCAACTATTTTTGAATGGCATAAAAAAATATGAATTCCAATGTTTCAAAAATGGAAACTTTTAACTTTCTTATGGAACACCCTGTATTTTATGGTTGTCTTAGATTCCAGATACAATTTTAAGACTTTTTTTACTCTTGGAAATTTCTCTCTAAACCTACTCGTTTAGGAGCTACAGCGTGTTAAACTTTGAAAAATTAGCTTGCCGTGTGGTTATAATCATTATGTTATTAGCTTTTTTCAAAGTTTAACACGCTGTAGCTCCTAAACGAGTAGGCTTAGGCTTAGAGAGAAAATGCCACGAGTAAAAAGAATTAAAATTGTATCTAGAATCTAAAACAATCATAAAATACAGGGTGTTCCATAAGAAATTTGAAGTTAGCCATATTTGAAAATGGAGCCATTTTTTAAACATTGGAATTCATATTTTTATCAATAAAAACTAGTTGTAGTTCCCCATTTAATGTCCACTCTAAATCTGATAGTTTCTGAGATACCAATGGTGGCACAGTTATTAAGTTATTCACCCTGTATAGTAATGTCAATGTTTAAAACCTTTTCCGCAAAAGTTAGAGAAACATTTTACATTGTTGTGAAGCTGACTTTGCACGTTGTCTCCACGGTATTGTTTGACATATTATCTTAATCAGAAAAGTTACCAGGTCCCAAAAATTCAATAGTAATTTTTCCAATTAAAGAAAGTGTATAATGAGAATAATCTATTATTATTATTATTTTATGATGATTCAATTGAATTTTATTTGTAAGGAATGGTATAGGCTACAATAGGAGTCCAATGAGTAGCCTGTAAAAAACTCTGGGAAGTGGTTAGGTATATGGATCAAAATAAAGGGAAAATCAAGAATTTTTTTTACGAAGAATAGCTCTTTCTTTGTGACACACCTGTTGACGCATAACTTTAGGAAAACTTATGGGACACCGGATTTGCATTTTTGTATTACGAATTGTCAAATTGTAGCACTTAAAAGATACAAGATATATTTAAATAAACTAATCAAATTTCAATTAAATTTGGTATCAGCAATCTGACACATACTTTCTACCATTAGCTTGTCAACAACCGTAATCATTCATGGGTAGGCGATGAGAGTAACTATGATATTTAATAGGTAAAATCACAAAAGTTTCATTAACAGTAATTTTAACAGGAATGAAGGGATGCACTATTTTCTTTAGAATTATAAGGACCATAACAGAAGAATTTCAATCAGAATCGGTTTTTTTCAAATCAATTTTTCCGTTTTTTAAATGGGTTTTTATGGGAAAATAACATAAGTTACAATAGCTTTTGAACCATAATTTTTACAGCAATGGGGGGTTGCACAATGTTGTTTGGAATTAAGAATTATCAGATAGCCTAATTTCAATCAAAACCAAACAGTATTAAAAGGTATTATTTTATGGGGATTTTTATTGAAAAAAAAAAAAAATATTTTATTGAAAATAAATTTACAATAACTTTTGAAGCGTAATTTTTAAAGAAATGGGAGTTATATAATTTTGTTCAGAATTTAAAGGGCTACAACATACCAAATGTTTATCAAAATCGTTCAGGCCGTCTTTGAGAAAATTCGATTTTTCAGTTTTTTTTATTGGTGTTTATTGGAAAATCAACATTAAAAATCAAAATTTCAAAAAAATGAAAAAAAGTGCCTGGAGATACCATGAATTAGTACCTACATACCAAATTTAATAAAAATCGGACCACAGGTGTAGTTTGTATCTCTGTACACATCCACACACACATACACAGACATAACTTCAAAAACCACTTTTTTTGGTCCAGGGACGCAAAACTAATATATCAACTCAAACTCGAAAATGTTGACAAAACAATACTTTTTTCCATGTACCATGGTATAGGGGGAGAAAGTGACAAATGATTAAATAATGTTTAAATAATATTTAAAAAGATTGAATATTTTAAGATAAATGTACATGTACATGTAAGTTTACTATACTGGTCGGTAATGTTATGTTTTAGCTTAGTTGTCTGTTTAGAAAGTAATAAAGATAAATATTTTACTCTGCTAGTTGAGAAAAGTGATATTATGAAAGTCATGAATCCTGACTTTCGGACTTTTATTATTCCATTAATAAAGATAATCTTTCTAGTTCGCAGGAACTAAGAAGATTAGTCTGCATGATAATGCTTTTGTAACTTTTGGAAAGCTGATTACTGACTTAACAATAGTATACGCCCGATTTCCTTGTCTGGACTTGATTAGGATGATAGAGAATTTTGGACCAACAAAATGAGAATGGATAAAGATAACAAGTTTATTTTCAATAACATTTTTCCTGGCTCCATTAATATAGTTAGTGTATACTAATATAATTCACACAATGCATGCACATAGGCTTGCGAAATGCATTTCCCGAGGTCCTGTATCATCACCTAC